CTACTAGACGCAGGTCGGGTCGCTCGCAGTTCCCCAATTAATAATTGGCGGTGGCTTGGAAACCATACAGAGCTTTTTACCGGTCCATAAATTTTTCTTACTTTATCAGTTAACAATAATTTGCATTGAAACCAATCTACGGAAGCAAGGGGTGAAATTTGTCGATATTATTTTGCTTAGGACGCCTTCTGGATCAAAGAGTATTGACGTATACCTAATAACTCGCCATATTTTAATATTTTCTCTAACTAAAATTCTGGAACACTCCACAAACACCAACCTCTAGCCTATCTCCATTAGGCATAGCTTGCCACGAACCCTATCATTGGTCTGCTGGACAGGTAGACGAAGAAGAAGGACGCGCGACGAGTAATGGGAATCATCATTGGTGGTGTGAAACTTCCATTTGGTTCAGGTTTTGACTAATTGTCATCTACCATAGACCACCTTGTTCATTCGTGCAAAATTTTCTACCTCACTTGACCTATTTACGTTTGCCCTCTTCAAAAGACCATCAGCACCATCAAGTGAACTCTTCAGTATTGATAGCTGACAAATATTATAAAAAACTGACCACTTTCTCCGAAGATGTGAGGAGATCATCTGCAACAGGTATTCATTTTACAGGTTTGTTATGGGCGACAAAACTCATTTGCCATCAGAAGAGGAATATGGGAACTGACAATTAATATATGCTTCAACAATGCCGGCAAATTACATTAGGCTTCTCTCCGCCGACGTCTTTTTTTGGGGACGGGGGGGGGGGGACGGGGACCACTTTCTTACAAAGACACCGCCGGCGAGATCCCAATCGAACGACACCTGCGGAGATCGTTTATTTTCGCTATAGAGCTAGTGCTCACTCGTTGACTCAGTGATCCCATTCTTCTGATGTGGGCCATATCGCCTCTTTCGAGCAATAAGCTTCAGTAAAGAACGGGAAGGTCCCATCTCGAGAAAATTCACAAAAAACTCTTTCTAACCTCGTATTCTCTATTCTTCACTAAAGAACTAAGGCTGCTGTTGTAGATCCAGAATATCTGGTCTTTTTACCCAAAATTTTGGTGCGTTCTTATCTTTCGCTTCAAAAGGAAAGAATCCTCTACCAGTGTAAACCCCGAGAGCAGTTTTTTTGCTCGAAAAGGACGAAGGAAAGGACCTTCATCAAGTGTTGTGCAATTTTTTACGAAAATTACCCTCGCTAGCACATAAAAGTCATCGGAAGAAGCGCGGTCTAAAGAACAAGCTGGGTTTTCACGGAGAAGCATCCACGGTTAGATTATGAGGGTGATATAAGTCTGGCAGGAGCCGCCTACTTCTCGTCCTTTCTTCAGCTACAAGAAAGCCTTTGACAAAGTTGAAGCATTGAAACTAACGCCAGCCTGTCTGTGTTAATCTATCAGGGTTTCCAACTGTACGACATTCATGCCAAGGCTGTTAACGTTGTCCCGTATTGGTTGATGAATACTGTATTGGAAAAAGAGAGGGACAAAAGTTGATGAGATATTCCTCTCGGTTAACATAATTCTCTTACTCGAATATCACTGAAGTAGAGACAAATGCTGAAGATACCAAATGGAGAAGAAGATAAGACGGCGAAATTGGATGAAGACAGCAAATGCCTTGTAAGAGACGCAAACTCTAACTAGTAGTTTCTAAAAGTTGATGAGTGATTTGATCTACTTTTGTAAGCAAGTAAAACAACTTATCAACTGTTCTACTCGGATCAGGGAGACACGGATCTTACATAAGTAAGCAAGTAAAACGACTTATCGACATTCTATGTATTCGGAACAGGGTAGGTAGTCCTTCAAAGAAACTGTGTATTATACAGTAGATCCAGATTTTACATAGGCAGGTTCATCAGCCGCGGCACCCCCACGGTCTAAATTAATTGGATGAAGCATTTTAATGTTAGGATGCAAAATTGTATAGGTTTCTGGCAAGATACAAAAGAATGAGAACCCTGAGGAAATGTCTGGCTGTAAACTTAAGAAAATTTCAGCTAGATTTGAAGACAAGATTGTGATATGCCAATATGACCATGAAATATTTGTTTTTAAAAAAGACTGTGATGCAAATTATTGAGAACAACTTTCAAGCACACCAATGCGCTCATTCGATCAAAAATGTCGTGGACAAATCGTAACATTCGCAGGAACAGACTCCCATTATATTTTTATACGATCAGCAGTAGTAAAATTCTGCTCACGCTTAGGATGTCAGCAGACTTTTCGTATAGTCGTCATAGATGCGGAGCAGTATAGGCCCAATTTCAGTTGTTTTGCTCAGGCTGGAGGACCCTGGTGGGCATTTTTAGCGCTGAACGCAATAGCAAAATAGCTCTTCTATGTTTGTGTGAGGATAACAACCACAAAGTATATAGCAGGATTACGATTGTTTACGCTGAGAAATATTCCAGAAATTTTTTACGTGGCTTATATGGATGTTCTGAAAAAGCTAGCACAAACATAAACACACATTTCTCACATGCGTGAGTGAACAATTCCTCTTTGGAAGATGTAGAATGAGTTCAGGAAAATGGGGAGATCGAAGTGATCGAATCTTCAATTTCACATGCGGTTTACTTATAAATCTCATAATACAGAATATAACACATACGCTATCCGTGCTGAGTCCTTCTTCCCCTCCCACTCCCCAAAAAATAGTCGAAAAACTTCCAACAATAAGTAGTGTTGGTCTATAGTAAGACTGCCTAAACGAAGTGTTTGCGGGATTAGCTTGAGAACTATGAGATACCATATGAGTTAACAGTTTCATCAAGGAAATTATTTCACGACGCGTAGTGCTCCTTACCAAAAGTTCCAGAAAATCTTCGGAAAATTATAAAAACCGTAAATTTTTATAAAATTATAAAAGCTTTCCGAAATCTCCATGTCATCCTGAAATTTGGTGCATGTTATGCCCGAAATTCCGAAATAGCGGGTATGGCGGCAGTCACTTCCCTAAAAAGGTTTGTCATGGAACTTATTTGATTTTAGAGAATTCCAAAAAAATTTTATTTGTCAATAAAATTTCATTGGGGTCAGGTCAGCTGGCTTTGTCCGCAGACTGGTCCTCAAAAAAGTGGCATTACAAATTTTAGAGAAAACAAGATTATGGGAATTTACCTTGTAACACATCTCGACAAATTGATATCTCGGATCCACGTTCTAATAATCTGATTTGTTTTGATTTGTAATTGTTTTCGCCCTTCCGTCTCACATTTATTTTCCCGAGTTTTAAGAATAACTGATATCTCGGTAGTTCACTTCTTATTCCTTCTTTTATTGGCGCATCTAAAATTATCAAAGTCACATCATCTAATTCACTTATTATGAAGTCAAAACAGCAAGCACAATTTTGCATACGTCATTTGTTTCAACTACGCAAACCCTTAATTACGGAAATGCATTAATTATCACAAAAACAAGGAACATGTGTTACTTACATTAGAGGCCATACCAAAGAACGAGACCTGTGCTCGTTAGTCACTAAAAAGTGCTGTTGATGTGTCGATAATCATGAAAATGTCAATGTGACGCATTTATTCCGCGTCTGCATGCCCCCATTGTTTCGTTCACTCTTGACTTCCAATTTTAACCATTTTCTCTAAACAATACTAAATTTCTCTTCTCATTCCTCATTAGACCAGTTGACATTTCAGTGATGCAAAACAAATGAATGCTTGATTAGCTGCTGGTAAAGACGTTTGCTGAAGAAAAATTGCACTTTCCCGCTAAAGAGTCATCATTTTCGTCATACTTCTGCACTCTCGCTTTCCTGTCATTAATGTGTGCATTGGTGCGTAGTGTTGCAAATCACGCATTCTTTACGGATTCGAATTGGTAAACTGGGAAGGACATGGGGATTGTCATCGTTTAGGACCAGGAAAGAAGGCTGATAGCGTGAAAAGCATACACTGATGCTGATTCTCTAGTTCGTAAACTGAGCACTTTTGCACAAAGCTCCAATTTGATGCGTCAAATGACGCACGAACCAAGGCCCTTGTGGACAAATGAGAGACTACTTCTAGCTGAGAGAGCGCAAACTGTGCTGCAATGAGACGGCGTTCTGTCTGATACGAGGAAACACAGGCTATTCCTGTTTGAGCTTATTGTTAGTAAATGGGTTCATAAAACAAGTACCCTAACGAATATTTTGTTTACTTACTGAATCTAAATCTTAATCTAGTAAAATCTCTTTTTCCGTAGCTCTTTTTCTTTCCATTCATGATGAGTTTAATATTCTGATGTATGACTTTTCAGACGGAAGGGCGGCTAGAGGTCCCCAGGGGGTTGCTTACTTTTTTTAAAGCACAAACAAGGACATAGTTAGGATAATTTCCTTGATTTTGTGAAAATAAATTTTCACAGACGTGCCTCTAAAAATGAGAGGCCAAAACTTTTCCAGACGATTTCGGTAACGCATTTTCACCCAAAATAAACTCTTTTGTCTGCGTGTTAGGCCAAAATAAATGGGACTACCATTGTTATTTTGCATCATGCATGTTTCTAAGCACTTTTTTATCCATAGAAATCTAGCTTTTGGAGAATGTCTAGAATGCCGCAATCTACAGGCTTGCAACTCAAGCAACTCCATTCCTCTATAACGTCGATGAACACCTTTAAAGAGTAAGCTATATTTTGAGCCCTTTTTGTTCGCAACATCCATAAGCGAGCAAGTTCGGATAGCGATCGAATGCGATGTATCGATGACCTTCACCCGCATCGCCAGACTTCTTTCGAAGGTTGACCCGTCTTACGTTCCACGTGCACGGATGGCGAAGTATTGCTCTTATCTTCTTTGCTCCTTATTCCACTTTCATGCATAAGATTCTCACAGCTCACTAAAAAAGATCACAGTCCTGTGTCTGATATTCCAATCCACTTTTCCTGCTGATTAATACTTGACTGGGCAGACCATCAGATATGGTAATGGTCTGCCCAGTCAAGTATTAATCAGTGCACCGTGTTTTGTAATAAATACTGTTCTTGTTACAGAGATGTCATCTTACCTAATCACTGGTGGACTCGGCTCTTTGGGTTCAGCACTCGTCCGGCAGCTTTATAAAAACGGCAATAATCAGATTACTGTGCTTGACAATCTCAGTGCACATTCGGATCTTTCATTGGTGAGTCAGAAATTTTATTCAATCATGTTCTAACAACCACTATTTTCTTGTGATCTTCTTTGTAAAAAAAATTTTTTTCTGCTTTACAAAGTTGGTTTTGCTGTAAAATGATTCTCTTGACTCGTTCAACACAGAATCTTTACCGATCAATGATATTTTCGAGTTCCAATATTTGCCCCTAGAATGTGATCGACGAGAGCTAAATGATAGTCGCTTTTTACAAGCAAATAATGTCGACACTGTAGAAAACATCAGTCAAATCTATGCACTTGTAAAAAGTACAGCAAAAAATCATGGAATTTATTCGAAGCTTAATAATTCAAAAATCTTATTTTTCAGATCCCTCAACATGTCCGTGATTCCGACCGTTTTACGCTCGTTGTTGGTGATACCAGAAACGAGCAACTCGTCCTGCACACGCTGAAGAACAAATGTGTATGTTTCAACCTTGAATGATATAGTATTATGTACGCATTTATTGATTTAAGATAGAAATCATCATTGACTGCGCGAGTCGAGCCAGCAACGCAATCGGTCAATCGCCTGTTGCTGGAGCGCGGAATGCGATGCAAGGACTTACACATGCGCTGGACGCTGTGCGTCAGTACGGCCAACTCAAGCATTATCTGCTGATTAGCTGTCAAAGTGTGAGTTTTGTAGAATTTTCTAAAATCTTGCCGGAAAGCTTTTCAAAAATTGGAAGAAAAAACAAGGATGAATTCTGGATTTACTTGCTTGCTTACACTTGCTCTTACTTCACCACAGGAACGTAATTGCCGTTTTAAAGGTTCCCTACTCTATATTCTTTTTCTCGGCGCACCTATGAGTGCAGCTTATAAATATAAATAAATAAATAAAAATAAATATTCAGTGTTTAAAATATGAATTAGACGAAGCTAGATTATCATTTTTTCCGATTGATGCTCATTGGCTTTTTGCCACTCTAAATACAATGTATTTGAGTAAGTGATATTGTAGGTGTACGGTATCGCCCCGTGCGTCGAAACGTCCCCATTGGCGCCAACAACATGGCGTGGAGCCGCCATGATGTCTGCCGAAGCCATGTTGCACTCGTACGTCATCTCTTATCACCTTCCTCTGGCCATTGTTCGTCTGAGCCTTGGTCTGATCAATGACGGTTTGGAACAAAGGATGGAGGATATGAAAAGCGGTGTGTATTTTATGTCTTAAATCACTCCTATAAAAAAAATTAAACAATATCAGAGAAGGAACGGTGGAGGAAAACCTTTGTATGAATAAAATTTTATTGAAAATCACATCTGACTTTTTTCGTAAATTGTTGCCCAAATGTTTCAAACATGATGGACGTAAAGAACACACATTGCACAATTTGCTTGGTTTTCCGCCCTTGTTTTACCATGCTCAGTTGGGCCAATGGCAGTCGACGTAGTGACCAATCACAGGCGAGCCAGTCGCTATGACGAAAGGTTCAAAAAGGCTTTCCTAATTAGAATACTCTGTTGCACTTAAACAGATCAACTCTTCTTCATAATGACAACGAGTTACACCTCTGCGCTGTAAAAAAAAGTTTAGTGAATGACTGGTCTTGTTCCTTCTCTTGCCCCCCCCCCTTTCTTCACCATTTTCCGTTCTGTAGAACTACGCAAAAAAGTCGCTTATCCGTAGATCCGTATGATCCGATGTCACAACACATATAGAGGACATCTGTAACGGTCAATAAAATTTGCTATCTAACCATTTCACATCCCTAATTTTTTTTTGCAACTTTAGTGAATCTGCTGACGATGGAAGACGCAGTGGAAGGCATTTTATTGGCAATAGAGCACTCCAGCAATGCCGAAGTTTGGAATATAGGTGGCACCAGCGATTATTCCACTTATGAAGTGAGACAGGTGAGTCACTTTATGTATTTGTCATCTAAAGAAGCAAAATCTGGTGTAAAAATAGCGAGAATTTGAGTAGATGAAGAGCAAAATGGTTTACTGGATAAGCAAGCCACGTAATCTTAATTTGGAGATAAATGAAAAGCAGATACAAGTTAATGACTTTAAATGAACTTTTTTCGAAGAGTAAGAAGATTGCATTTCACTTTCCTCAAAATCATGAACAAATAATTCTCAAATGAACTCCTTACACTTAACGTTCAACACTCAGATCGCCCTGCTACTTCGAATACAATCTTTCATGTATACGTTTTTTTCAAAAAGTTTGAAATTTATTTTACCATGGCCCTTGCAGTTGTATAAAACGGATAAATAAAATCTTGCAATTCTCCAGCGATATTTATGGCTTCAATGTAATAGAATTTTTAGGTGTTAGATGGAAAACAAATCACACCATCTGCTTGTCCGTCATCGCTATCTTCAGAGAAGGCCAAGAATGAGTTGGGCTTCGAAGCACACGAAGATGAGCTAAAAGGTTGGAAGAAACTTTCTAATACCTATTCATGAATTTTTAACATCATCCAAATTTCAGCACTTGCAAACCTTTGCACACCAGCAACACCCCAGCCAGCTGGTTCAGCAGCCAAGATTCTCCTTTATGGCTCCAAAGGCTGGATTGGACGACAGTTTGTCGAACTATTGCAGAAGGAAGGTGTGGCTTATGTGGAGGCGAAGACTCGTCCAGGGACCGATGCCGATGACGTCATTAGGGAAGAGATGGTCCGCGTTGCGCCTAGCCATTTGGTGTCGATGATTGGTCGAACTCACGGAGAAGGTAAGTGCTAGTTAGTTTAATCGACTAATCTTCAGAATAAGTAGAGCAACTCGTCCAACTTTAGGAGTAAACTCGATCGCGTACCTCGAAGGTGGATCCGATAAGCTGGAGCTGAACATGCGCGATAACCTCTACGCTCCATGGATCCTAGCCAGTTTATGCGAAAAGATGAACATTCACTATACTTACCTAGGGACGGGTTGCCTATTCAAGTACAATAGCGAACATCCAATTGATGGGCCAGGTTATAAGGTAAGAATCACAGCTGATTATGAGAACGAATAATACTACAGTGTTTTCGGCAAATTAGAGCAAAACTGGTTTTATATTTAGATTATTTGCCTCTACTACCTATTCGAATAATGATTCCGAACTCGTTGTAATTCTATGATACTTTAAAACCGAGCCTGTCATGCCCGCTGTGAAAAGAGTAAAAACATCCTTGTCATCCTCCTCAGTAATAGCCGTTAAAATGACAAAATTGTCATTTCCTGCATTTTTGCCAGTCCATTTCTGCAACTCCAGTTTATTTTTATTTCTCTTAATTTGTTTTGAGAGTTTCATAACTACAGGAAGACGACGTTGGGAACTACGATGGTACCTCGTACTCAGCAGTCAAATGCTTTACCGATCGTCTTCTGCGACACTTTGATAACACGCTTCAATGCAGAATCCGCCTACCAGTTAACTATGAACCAGATAGCCGGAACCTAGTTGCGAAGGTAAATAGATTTGCTAATCATTCGGAAAATGAATAAAGAAAGTATTGCTTCCAGCTGATGAACTTCAAAAAAGTGCTGGACATTCCAAATTCGATCACGATTCTCCCTGACTGCTTACCTATTCTGTTAAACATGGCCCTCAAGAGGTAGAAAAACCTTTGACGTTATTTTTTGCGGATTTAGTTCGATCTCGGTATATGTTAGGATAAAGGATAAAGGATTCGGCGTCTTCAGTACCCTCTGAGGGCATGCGCCGAACGCACACACTAACTTCATAGTCGAAGAGGCAATTGTATGCGTGCGAGCCTATTACAGTGACTTGCGGGGGCCAGCCGTTTCCAAGTCAGTGCTTTTATCCTCCCAGATTACTCTGGTACCAATTTACCGGCCCCGGAGGGTAGAGGGCTTGGTTGGCCCAGGGGCGGGGATCGAACCTGTGTCCGATCTGGTCATAGCGGCGCCTCATACCACTACGCCACTCGTCCCCGGTATATGTTATAGGCGCGCAATATGTAGACTAGTGAATGCACGCAGAGACAGGGCGCCGCTGCAGACGTTGTCGGCGTCTCTCGACTTAAGCGCGCTCTCTTCTCTCTTACTGTCTGCTGTCGCTTTCAAACACGTGCTGTCTAATTAAGACGCAGCTGCGAGCAGTTTCTGCGTGCGCTGATTCGTCTATTGCTGAGGAATAACCCTTTCTATATGCTGTTTTGCCAAAACACATATTTAAAATAATTAAAACAATTTTTCAAAACACATACTGAAAAACTTCCTGTTAAGTGTGCGATCCCATTATTTTTTCATCATAAGACTTTATTTTTGTTCTGCTCACCATACTGTTTGCTAATTTAGAGAAACCGGAGTCATTAACCTGGTAAATCCTGGTGCTATACGTTTCCCAGAAATATCCGAGATGTATCGAAAAATGTTGAACCCCGACTGGCAATATGAAGTTTTGCCTGCTGACGTAAGCCAAACCTACCCAAAATTTCTAATTTTTCTATTTTTTTTTTCGTTTTTAGCCCGACTCAGAGCTCGTTACAACCCGATCTCACTGCCGTTTGAGCACGAAAAAGCTCGAATCAATGTACCCAAATTTTCGCTCAGCCCGTGATGGAGTAGCCCAGGCTTTGGAACAGATCGCCCTAGCTAAGGGGCTGCGGACCATTGCTCAAGCATGAATCCACTTGATTTGTCTTTCAGACTGTGATATCACCATGTGCATGTGATTTTTTAAATGCAATAAATATTATTATGAACACTTTTAAGCCATACAAAATTGTTATTTGTGATGGCAAGCAACCAAGTGCTTAATTCGTCCTATCACTCAATCAACATCTAGAAAACTGGCTATAAAATGTAAAAAATACAAACTGCTGACTTTGAAGAACTTCTCTTCACATATACATAAAACGAACTTGCTATGCAGCTAAGACGAGTTGTTCTTTTCATTACCTATCAACTAAGATTCAGAATTTTGTCACTTCGGCACCTTGGTAGTTATCGAAAGCCCGTGCATATCTTTGATTTCTTCCTTGAGTATACCTAGTAAAAACGAAAGTAAAAATGCTCACAAGTGAAGAAAGTGATTTACCTGTTATCATTTTATGTTGAGCAACTCTGGACAGACCTTTGAAAGCACTAGATTCTACAAATACTGTGTACATTGAACCGCATCCACCTATAATGTAAACAAGCTCTCTGAACACTGTTTCAGCACTAGCTACTGAGGTGAGCTTTCACATTCGTTACTCTATTTTGTTTTCGGAGATTGTGAAAACTGTGTAATCACACTCAAAACTCACCAGACACGTCGTGCACCTCGACTTGACTGGTTCCACTGATCTTGTCCTTTAACAGCTTTGTCATCCGTTGTTCTGGTGGTATTTTTGTGGAACAAAATCTCATGGCAAGATGTGATAAACGACATCGTACCGACAGCATCGTTCTGGAACAACATGGTTTGCATAGTTCTGCGCGCACGTGTCAACCAAAACCTAATGTGTGCAATTGCACATAATATGAACACATTGCGCGTCAAACTCCCCAATTTCACGACATTTTAGCGTCAACTTTTGAGAAACAAGGGAGCAGCAGTGAGATGTAGCAACTTTTCAGTTCCGTAAAAAAAGCTACTTTCAAAGTTACGAGGTTCCACAAACTAGCCTCAACTAGCAAATCAAGAATTGCTCAAGCATACGGAGCACAAAGTTAAAAAATAATCCTCTAATTCCTTTCACGAAACATTCAAATATGGTGTAGAAACAAAACAAAGGTTCATCTACTTGTGATTGCTGTGTCTACAGCAGGCTTTCTGCATTTGCTGAAGGGTATAGTTGACTGCACGGTACGACCGCGCTGAACGCTCGCGAGCGTGTCTTGCAGGCTAACATTGGCATTCGCGCGCATGAGTCATTATAGCGGCCGTACTCGGCAACCGCGTTGCAGGCACGCTCGCGTGCGTTCAGCATACGGCGACCCGGGCAGTTTCGTGCAGTCGACATTATTCTAATAGCGGCGTCAATCCTTCGCTTGTCCCTTTCTCAAATATGTACGCTTCCCGCCTGAATTCAAATTGGCCGTAGGTGAGACATAGAATACTTGGCAATTCACACTAACTTACTTGCCATATCAACTGAACTTTTCCAATACTTTCTGTAATTATATCGTTGTAACGATAGTTCTGCCTTTACAAACAAATAAGGATCAATTTTTATTGATCGTTTTACTAGATCAAAATGGGGACATGAGCAATAACCGAATCCAACACCATGGAAGTACTCTCTATGCACCATACATAAGAAGGGGAAATCCAAATTCAAAATGAATCTGTGGACATAATGCAGTGACAATGGTAATTATATGTAATTTAAAAAACACCATTTAAGATAAGGGACAAGAATAGTACAGAAGCCAATAGCATAGAGAAACATTCTGACCTCATGGGCATGTATACGAGGTCATATATCACCAGTCAAAGATTCTACAGCTACCATAAATGCATTACTTGTCGTTGACTAAGGGAAGACAATAACACCCGAATAAGAGGGGCATGTCATCAGCGGAGGGGATACAATTTACCCCGAAGTTAGTATAGATAGCATATGGTACAGAAGCTTTCCATAAAAAGGGATTAAACTGCAAAATTACATGAAAATATTATGGACACAATAAAGCAACTTTCGCATTGACAAAACCAGATAAAAGACCACGTTATCGTATGCAAAAAGTGGGAGCAATAACAAAAAAAAATTACGAATCGATGGGATATATGGAAGACAGCAGTTTTGCACCACTACAGTATGCTACCTTACCGCGCGGGTAGCTTACATAACAAGGTTTTTCGTGGCGTTATGTTGCTCGATAGTACCCAGTTTTGGGTATTTTAGACAAAACTTAAACAATGAAGCGCCACGACAGCTCTACGCCTCACAAGGTTACGGTAGAATACAATGTGGTGCAAAAAGAATTATAGCGAGAACAAATTACAACTTATTAATCAATAATCTCCTACCACAAATTAACCCTGTAATTAAGTTCGTACAGAATGGGAGCAGATAAAACGACTGAGGTAAAGTGAAGCACACAAAATGGCACAAGAAATTATAAGCAAACTCAACAAGATCCCTAAAAAAACTCAACTACCGAGAACCAAACGAGCTGGACGTACTGCTAATCAAGCCGGTACTGCTACTACTGCTAGCAGCTTCTGGATCGCGTTCATCACTTGCATAACCTTCACTAGCTGAATCATCGAATGCTTTGATGCTTAGGAGTTGCCGTGGGGAAGAATTCGTCGCAGAGCGTGGATTGAGCGAGTTAATATCACCGTGAAATTTAAGCGCCCACTGCATTGCCCAGATGCTTAGCGGTCTCATATAGCCAATGGCACGGTAAAACCTTTGAAAAAGTAAAGATAAGGGAAGAATGTGAGAGAATAAAACTAAACCGATGATGAAAAGATCAACTTACTTGTTCTCATAGAGTGCCTCCGGAGTTTGATACTGTAGTCCGAAACGTTCGAAGCAAGCATTATAAGAACCAGAAGCGGTATGGAAGGCTTTCTCTGGCTCACCTTGCTGCAGCATAAAAGCTGCCACCGCGTATGTTACCCCAGTCCAGACTTCATCGGCCTATAAAAATGTGTACTTACTAACAGGGCTTAGAAATTTGCAATCGCAACCGCTGAGAGTCTTACTGGAGCGACTTAGCCCACGCTAATAATGTACACAAGCGAAAGAGAAATTGTCAAAATAGTTTAAGAAAGAATGCAGTGAATCAAAAATAAGTAGTAAAAAAACTGAAAGTAAATACCCAAGTAGCAAACATTACAAAGCAAAGTAATTTACCTGTATATACTCTCTATCAACAACTCCATCGGGTCGCATTCCATTCACTGCACCCATCTTTCCACCAGCAAAACGACAAACATTATAACCATAGATGGTATCCAGTGCTTTACGAACCATAGCTTGCGGAAGCACCTAAGAAGGCACGCCTGCATGTGTGAAATCTGCAAAATTTTAACTTACTTCATCGGCTAATTCGGGTGAAACAGATTGTAAGAACCATATGCCACAAAGCTGATCAGCCATGATAGATTCACGACTGCGAGACCTCTCACAGAATCGAAAGTATGAACCGGTCCATAAACGTTCAATAAATACCTGTAATCCACATAATCACACTTATGCCAGAATCAACCACGAAAGTTTTACAATAGTGATGAAACATCACTTAAAAGATAGCAAACAATCCACAAACCTTCCTAGCATTTTCCAATACTTGCAAATATTGCTTCTCACATGCTTCATAGCCTAAAATCCTAGCCATTTCAGCAGCGACTCTAAGCGAAGCTAACCAGAGCGAACCGCAGTAGGCGCTAAAAGAAGTTTCTCATCGACAGTAAAATCGATTGAAAAAAGAAATAATGTAGATGCGAATAAAATATACATAGCAGAGCCCGTACCTCACACCTTCCATTCTCCAAGCATCATAAGTCTGATCTGCTGCTCCAAAATTTTCAATCATTCCGTCACCGTCTTGGTCCCATTCCAGTACAGCATCAGACATCAATTTCTGAGAAAAAGAAAGAATATCTTCATGACGCAAAAGTAGAGATAAGTTATTACCTGGACAGCTGGCCATGTATGTTCCAAAAAAGATAAGTCGTCAGTATGTCGCGGCAAAGCTACATGATCTCGCCACGATGTTAGCACAAATTTCAAGTTAAGATCTTTCCATTTACCAGTATCATGCATTACGTAAGCATTTGTACACAACCAAGGCTCATCCGCTGGAGAAAAAACTACTTCAACAAACAGTGACGTTCACGAGTTCAAAAAAAAACAAAGGAACAAAGATTAAAGCTTGATAAACAAATGCAATACAAGAGAGAAGTTACCCGGGTTTCCGAGATCATGCGGTACACGGCACCTAGTTTTTTGGCGAGCAACATCCCCTTCCATATGAAAAGTAATATGAGTATCCACGGAGTGCTCAATCTGGTCAGCTGTAAGATTTTTTTTTCAAATCAGCAGCATTACTAGGAGAACCATCGTCATTGAGAATGAAAATCAATTTCATAGTTTAGCAGAAGTGAAAGTAAGGCAAAAAAATGAAAACTCACTGAACTCGGCTTGCATTGTTAGTTGCAGATAAGGCCATAACTGTGCTATTGCATAGGATGCATAAAAATGTACATCATAAGTATTTACCATACGATATTCCCAAGCTGAAAATCAACACCCATAACTCAGCTTACAACAAGCACAGGTATGAACAACTCACATTCCAGATATCCAAATCTACCGTACTGTATCATGAGATTCTTCGTATATTCGCTAAGATGCGTCTCATTCTTCGGCCAATCTTTATCGTATTCAAACCAAAGAGATCCTCCATCAGTCATGAAGTAGAGCTCGTTAAAGATCGCCGATTTGTACCATTCAGGCAGGTTTGGGTTTTTTAATATGGGCATTTGCCAGTCATCCAGCGCTTTCTCCCATTGGGGTCGTCGTCCCAAAGCTCGGGCACAAAGACAGGAAGCTCCTCTTACGAATCTTGTGTACCGCCTGCGAACATATATAACATAATTACGAACATGAAAGAAATAATAGTAAGCGCCTATGATGATGCTTACCTTTTGTACCACCTTCTCGAGGCACCGAATAGCACATTGGGCATGTCCCATGCCAGAGCGAACTCCACTATTCTTGACTTTTTAGCCGGAACGATGAAACGTTGACAAACACCTACAGCCAACTCCGTAGAACCCAGAGCACACTCATCATCCTACAAATTGAATATAATCGAAAACAAATCAAGAAACCAGACTGCTAAAAAAAATTTCTGTTGATTTTGGTCACTAGCGTTTTGATTGCGAAAAAAACAAGAAAATGACGAGAGGAAAAAAAACTACCGCCTCACTTCCAAAAGCAGATCTCCCGTTTCCCGTAGCGAAGACCATACTGCTGCACCAGACTTGGATGGATCAAATCCGTTGCATACCGATATATGATGATTATTCGAGAACGCCTAAACGACAATAAACCACCATAACTAGGAATGAAAAAAAAACAGCTCAAACTTACATATGATGTCGTCGCAACACCATAGGTACAAGCTAGCTGTGAAATTGTATGCGCCAAGGTCACACCGGTAACTAAAAAATCAACATATCGTCTTAGTTTTTGCTAAGTTCAAGTACTGAACACCTACCATTCCCATCTGTGAACCTTGCAGGAGTACACTGAGACTCATTTTCCCATCGGCGATTACCCGTTCCATTCCGGAATGTGAAAGCAACAGAGACTTCCAAATTAAAATCACTCTCGTTCTGGACGTCTACGACAAAACAGCAAACAGGAAGGCTGGTGTCCTAAAATTGAAAATTGGTATGACTGCGACATTGACTACCTTATAATTTCGCCTGCTTAAATTGCTTTGCCTCTAGTATCATTTTATCGATACTCCGCCACAAAAACATAGAAAAAGCAATCAAAGTAGAAAACTGCATTATAACTACCAACGAATCGGCAAAAGTCAATAAAGACATAAGAATGGAAACAAAATAAGATTAGAAATGAGAAAAGCACGCCACCTACTTCGTAATTGTTGGGAATCACTGGTGAAACCTGTCGAATCACCACAGTCAAGCCCAGATGTCGTATATTGTAGTGGGTCCATGAACGTGGATAAAGACCTCTGCAATACAAATATAGTTTTCGCATGAATTTATGACGATTTGCGTCATTACAGGCAAGTGATTTTTAAATCGATTTCGATTTTAGCAAGGACCATAGCTTGTGTGTTGTTTATTGAAAAAACTAGCAATTCTGCAAGGGTTTGGGAGAAATCATGAAAATTGAAATAGTATGTCGAAGTGTCTTGAGCTACCGGTGGTCAATGCCATCGTCTATGCTTCCGCACATACTTCACACGATTTTAGGCGCTGTGCGTTCTGCGACTGTGCCAATTCGCCTCAAATCCAACACTGGCAGACTACAAATGCATAGGGGTATAACTTCATAGATTGATGGAACGCTATTTCTTCCAAGAATTTTAGTGCGCTTATGGTGTTTATGAACAACTGAAGTATTGCCAAGTCGCATAAAACATGCCCTGGACTTTTGAATTGAAAGCTATCTCGATAAGAAGTTCATTTTATGCACACCGTGAGATGTTAGTTCAAAATAAATCTCGTTGTCAGTCACAACAAGAAATCACTCCATGTATCCCAAACAACCGCATTTCGATCTACCAATCGATAACCTAATTACTTTATTAGGTCATTTATATAGGCCCAAAGCACCCATGGTATTGCCCCGCCAGCTCCTCAGCACATCAAGCGACAGCGACCACCCAGTCAGAGACCACCCACGTCGAAAACATCACATTCTGCGTCTCTATCGCCGCTCGTCTAGCGCAGACTTTCGCGTCTGTGCGCTGTCAATTCTACCTCGATGTCGAGTCCTCCATGGCAGGATTCGAAAGAACCTCCTGAAGCTCAAAGCGATCCAAATCAGCCTTCGACTTCTTATCCGCTTCCTGGACAAAGATCTTATCTCGATGCTTCTGCAGATGATCCATCTTTTCTCGTTCCTTCTACTTTCACTGGAATTTCCTATGAAGTCGATGATTCACCGCGTATGTTGGATTATTCTTACGATCCTCATCTGTCGCTCTCTAAATATCTCGAAGATGTGGATAATAATGCTGAGCTCAATGTGCCTCTCGACACTCTGAATATAAATGCTCCAGCTTCAGTTCCATCGAATTTTTCTTATCTCAGCGGCCCATCATCTTCCAACAAACCGTCAGTATTTCGAAGTAGCGCTTCACCTTTGGATGTGCCTCAGTTTTCTCCTACTGAATGTGCCACTGAGCTAGTTCCACCATCTGCTCCGATGTCTTCTGAGAGTCAGTATATCCCCTCTCCTTCGGATCGCAGTGGAAGTGTGGTGACTGAGGCACGATTGAGCACTGTAGGGCAGCCCGCAGCTAGGGCCACGCTTCAAGATATCCAGGAGACTCGCTATGAAAGTCCAAAAAATCATGATGAGAGCTGGATTATGCGAGCTTTTTACTCCAGTTCTGAGGAGTTCAATTCACCCGAAGACTGGGAGACAAGGAAGTCAGCCAGTAATGAGGAAGAGGTCCATTTGGAGACTAATGAATCAGAAGAGGGGGACGATTCACTTGTCGACAAACTGTTTGAAATGCTTGAGAGAGCTGAGGGATCCGATGAGGAACAAGGCGAACGCAACGATAACGAACAGGACACGACCATAACGAACGAACCACAGCCCACACCTCAGGCAACCCCAATAGTTTCTCCCAAGGCTTTGTCCACGAAGTACCAGCGGGAATCTTCTCCACAACCTTCAACTTCACAGTACCCCCAACCTCAGATTCCCATCGACTACTCAGAGGAATCATTCCGTGCCCAGGCTGGCTACGGACCGCCGCAGGTTTCTTATGCGGCTTCTAGTGAATTTGGGCCGCCATACAATGAAGCAGTGCAAACGATGGAGCAGCCATCAATTGCGCCCGCTCCTATTCCTTCGCTAATTTATAGCAGACCATCTCTTCGAGCCGCAAATGCAGCTGCAGGGCCAGGGCCATCGAGTTCACGTGTTCAGCAACCAGCAACGCATCAATACTTTCGTCCGATAACAACTACGGATTACCTTTCACAGCCACCAATGCTTGACGAAAGCATGGACTATTCGCAAGTGCAATCTTCCTCACAGAGTTTTGCCGATCCCTGGACCACTTCCATCTATGGGCAAGCTGCAGAATCCGCCACCTACCTGCCCATGGAGCAGGAACCAACACCTCAAGTCCAGGAATACCTTCCGGCAGAGCCCACACCAATCAAAAATAAGGTACCACCGAAGAAGACGACAAAACCAATTCTGTCAAGCTCTTCTCCCCTCTCAAGTGACAGTGGAACTACTACTGATCCCGAACTTTGGGAATCCGTCTCAATGCGAAGAAGTCCCAGACCTGAAGGAGAGCAAACCCGAGCGGAGCCTCGACCGAAAGGTCCACCATTTGAACAAAAAGGTCCAACGTTCAACAAAGAAGTCCAGCCAGTTCCTCCACCACCTCCTTCTTCACCAGAACAAGTCGAAAGAGAGAAACCTCTCGAAGCGATGACATCAGAAGAATTAGTCCATCAATTTGAAGTCGAAACCGATCGCCTGGAGGAAGAGGCCCTCCGTCAGATAGAAGATTACGATCGACAAGAGCAACTCAGCGAACTCAGAAAAAAGATGTGTGAACGTTTCAAGAAATTCTATCCGAACCTATTCGGTGACGAGGATGAAGAAGAAGTCACAGATACGGGAACAAAGGCTTCCGAAGAGGAGGATGAAGATGAGAGTGGCATTCCTGTGGTAAGTTTCATACATTTATGAGTTCTTCGGCTAATGATGTGAGAAGATTTCCAGGATGGTAAAGTTATCCGAAATGGTATACAACTTGCGGCTAGATATCTCGCTTTATGGTTTCCTGATAAAAAGGAGCGAAGGGAGATGATCCCATGGAATACGTTAAGGAAAATCAAACCGATACGTCTTTGTTTTTTGGATAATCGCGTAGGTGGGCACATCTAAAACTGTTGAAAAAATGACTTCTCAGGCTTATTTGAAAAAAAAAACTGAATAATGGCTCCAAAAAATAAAATAAAAGCGCTGATTTTGTTGAATCAAAGAATCACGAAAACAAGCAAGAAAGAGGAGAACGGCAGTGGAAATGTAGGGAAGCATACAAAAGTCCTTTCAAAGGATTTTGAGAACTTCAGATTTGAAATGTAGTGCCTAAATATTTCAGGCCATGGAGAGTACGAGACCTTCGACATTGGAGAGTTTGTCACCACTACCGGACATATGATGTTTGCTTACGGTGATGGTCCGGAAGCGCTGGATGAGACTAGACTTTTTGTGCTCGATATAGTCCGACAGCAGATGAATATGTTATTACGGCGAAAATGGTGTGAAATAGTGGAAAAACATGAAAGGTAATGCCTTTGGCCCAACTCGTGAAAATCTAATCGTCACTTACAGGAGAGTCTTCACATATTCTCACATTTTCTCGCTTTACAAGAAACATCCAATTCGATTAAGACGTCTGGTTCGATATCTTGTGGTAAGTCTAGAGATTACTTTGCTTAGAATATCTATTGACGTCATTAAATTCATTGCTCAGGAACAAAATCGTCAGCGGCACATGATATATAGAGTAATGATTGATCAAGGACATCGAAGAGGTCAGGAGTACTTTGAAAATCGCATGGGAGTAAATGAAACAGGTGCCACGGAAGTGATATGCTTGAGGAAACGGTAAGAATGTTTATCTCATTATATTAATATTGTATAGTTTAATAAATTTGACTCACATGGTGTTTCTGCGTTAACGAATTATTCACGCGTAAAAAGTGGCCAGGTGGCGCAAAAAAGGAGATGTGCGCTCAAAGGCCACTTTTTACGCGTCAATCTTGCCAGTAGTAGGCGTTATTTGCGGTCAAATCCGCTGGTAAATAAAAGCCATACAGCTGCACGAAAACCCTTATATTTTCCTCCCCTTTCCTTCTGATTAAAGGAGTTTGAAGTGAATTTTTCAGTGCCCCTCACATCTACTATGCCCTGGAACAACAATATAAAGACCAGATGGATTTTCTCTGTGAAGAGCGAAGGCTGCAAGATTGCGATCCCGAACTCGCTGAGATCAAAATGTTTTTGAAACGACGCAACAAGTATCTTTCCGCTGAGGATAAGGCAATTTTAGAGTACGCAAGACGGGTGTCCTACTGCAGCAGAACGGGGCGACTGTGAGTTTTGGCACTCATAAATGTCAGTGAATCCAAAAATGAGTTTTCAGTTCATCATTTCGCGCTCATCGTTTCCATGAGTTTATTGGATTCCCAGATCTACAAACTGATCTCATTTATATTCTAGATTTTATGGCTAGAGAGATTGTCATGGAGGTTTGGTCGAGAACCATATAAGCTGAAATTTAGCTGATTTTCTTGTTACAGGTCACCTACAATGCAGCACTGGCTCGCAAACATGAACAAGAAGAGTCCATGTTACTGCGTGCACCAAATCCCATGCACAAACCTATATCCAAAACAAAAATGGTAGCAGAAAGCCTTGAATTGCGCCATTACGAGGAAGGACTACGGGCTATGGAGGGGTGGCGAAAAAATCGTAAGTGGTCGTGGAAAGGAAACGCGATTCATGAAAAAAGGCACACTACTTTAGAGGATATACTCTTTGGAGCCGAAGAACGTCCAGTGATGCTGTCTTACGGTAAAAATCCTATCAAATGGGAAAGTGACGATGCCTACAATCAGAGGGAAGCAGCAGAACGTAAGGAGTTTGAGAAGGAAGGACCTGTTTTGAGGTGAGTACCTTGGAATACATGAGTAAGCTCGAGATTAGGCTGCGCACATAAGTGCCTGTGCAGGCGTCGTTTCAGCGCCGTGCCAGAACGTCGATCGACCAATATGGGGCGTTGCAAGTGAGACCTGGCACGGTGCTGGCACAGCTTCAGCACGCGGGCAACTCTGGACGCAGCCTTAGACTGCTTACAACTGTGGGAAACTCAAGAAAAATTCTTTCTTTTCAAGGCGAACTGTCTTCATGTCGTCAGCGGAACTATGGGAAGAACACAAAAAAGTGCTACATGGAGAATATTGGGACAGTTCAGCGGAAGATCTGTCAAAAGAGGCAATAGTATTCGCAAACGCTTGCGCAGAAGCGCAGCGTCTTAAAGTAGAACTTGAGCAGCCACCAGTTCCTCCAAAATGGAAGCAGCATGAAGAAAGAAGTGCACAAGAAGAGCGAGTACGTCTTGGTAAACTGAGAGAACTCAATCGCTTGCAAGAAAAGGAGAAACATTTGACGGAACAATTGGTTAAACTTATGGCCAAGAATAGCCTCAGCGATGGCGATGGCGCAGATAATGGTCAGCGAGGAATAATAAATGGGAATTTTGACCTTGAAAAGACAAGAAAGGCAATTTATACGGCTGTGCGTCGTCGCGAAGAGCAGCAAAATACTCAAAAGTAGGAGGTAAGCTTTGATTTCATTGATTTCTTAGTTTTTTTTTATGAATCGTTTTCGCGTTTACGTTTTATCGCCTTTTTACGAAGTTTATACCTTGTACAGTTTTATCGCTTTTACGCATGACCTTATAGACTAACCGGGTGTTTCACGAGTACTCTTATATTCACTTGTAATTTTTTCTCATTATCGTGTCATACCAGAGTGTCATCATTGCTATTGTCATGCTAATTGTGTCATTGTAATTGTCAGTGTTATCAAATTGTCATCTCAAAGTTAAATTTTGGAAAAACTTTGTAATATCTGTAACCAATAATTGTCACTTTTGCTAATATTAATACTATTCAAATCGATCGAAATTAGATACTTTTGACTATCATACGAGAGAAGGGCGTAATAACAATAAAAATTGAAGAAGGAGAAATCAATGTAAAGCAGATTATCATAGCATCAATAATCAAGAATCCAATTCGCAAAAGAAATTAAACTCCCTATCAGAACTCGAATGTTATTATTCACACTGTCAAGGGAACCGAAGAAAAAGAAAATGATTCAATCAAACTCTTACCGGTAATGCAAATCCTTCTTTGGAAACGAAAAATCCCACGCACTCAACTGTTGACCGGGCAGAACCACATCGGCTGCGCACAAGACCTTTTGGTAAATACAACGACCATCACGGCGAACCGATATGATGAATTGGTTGGCCTACAATCATTCAGATATGAACGTTTTAGCACTGTACAAAAAAGTGAGTAAAAGAAAAATGAATGTGAGAAAGGCAAAATTTGCAAACTCACAGGTATTACATCCACTTTTTGTTCTACAAGACCAGGTCTCAAGCTATATTTACAAAATCCTCCTCGAAAATCACGTCCCATCGCACCACATCCTATACCACCACATGGAACTCCTAAAAATCATTATAACCAGATAATATTCAATCGTCAGATGTCACAGCACATCACATGTCTGTTTAAATCGAACAGAACAAAAAAGGTTCATTCAAAAAGTCAAAAGGCGATTTATGACGCAAATCGATTAAAAGAAAGCAGTACCAGAATTGTCGCTGCATACAGAATAAAAAAAAAGTGATCTGATTTAGGAAAAGAAAAACAAGTACAGAACTGATAAGGAAATTTCAAGAACTGACCATAGAATGGTTTGTGCTTTAGCGGTTGGAATGTATTGATGAACAACTTTTCTTTATCGAACGTGAATTTCATCCAATAGAAAAAATAGCGTCGAACAAATGGAAGTGCATCGAAAACCTGAGACATACAACATTTTTTTTAATCCAAAAATCAAAATTTCTCAAGCTAACCTGCTTTGCTGTTGGTCGATTGAACGGGACTCGTTTTTCGACTGGTATTCGGTCACCTCGCGCTCTCCAACCTGGTCCGGTAAGTTCTGGTGGAAGTCGCGCTTGTTCTATTTCAGCATCCATAGCCAGCTGTGCAGCTTCAGCAGCCATCTTTGCTTGCTTTTTCAAGCTTGCACGTTCTTCCTTACACATCAAAGGGATGCAGGTCCTAAAAATACAGTATTCAGCAAAGAATTCAAATGTCATAAGTCCTCTCAAGAAGGTAAAGTACATACATTTTCAGAAGTACAGTACACAAATCACAGAAACGTTCCCTAGTTTTCGATGGCAAACCAGTGACAAGGCGTGTCACATATGCAAACAGCACAGAGTACACAGTCACAACGCGCTACCGAGAGAGCATGTTTGCGCGGTTCCGCCTACCTATCTTGGTTCGAGATCGGATTATTAGCGCTATCTTTGTGCAGAACATGGGAACGGGAAGGGAGAGGGTGGAGGGGGGGGGGGGGGGAAGAAGGAGAGGAAGGAACGCTATAGATAGCGCTGTCCTGAAGCTGCTATGGAGCAAAAACTTAGGCAAAGTCGTCATATAATTCAATTTAATGCGTACTTCCATCGTAGAATATACAATGCACCTGAGATTAAAAAACACTACCCGACACCAGACCAGACTTTACAAGAAGTCCAATTTTTTTGAAAAGGATCATCGAAATTAGCTCAAAGCTAGATGAGTTGGCAACAAAATGCTTAAAAAATGCATTTAAATAATAAGATCGCAAACGCAATAAATGTTTTTCCCTCAAAACTGTCCTTCTATTACTTTTTGACTTCAATTTAAATGCATACAGAAATAAAAATAGTGTAAGAACTGCTTGCGCAGGTTTGCTTCCTTATAAAAGAATGGTCTACAGTGCTTTCCGGAATCCAAGGAATTGATTTGCTTTTGTACAAAAATCGGTTTTGTGCTTTCTCAATGCAGTCGAATTAAATCAGTAAAAGAACAGACGAGACGAGTGGAAAAAATCAAAGGTCATCATAAGAAAAAGTGAAGCAGCAAAAGACATTCAAGAGAACAAATTTTTGATTATTTTTGTGGACTGATCTGCAACGACAGGTGAAGCTTTGCTTAATCAGCTGTCATTTGCGATCAAATGCTTCAATAGAAGATAGAGCAACAAAAAAGCTTCAGTGCTAATGGATGCTACAAAAATCTGGTAATGAATATTCTTCCCTGCAAAGAAAACTAGGGATATCAAGACATTATATCTAATTAAAAAAACAAATAAAAACTACTGCCAAACGGAGAAAAAAGCTCTAAACATGCATTTGGCAAAAATCACGATTTTCTGGCTGAAAATGGCAAAAAATCGCATAAAATCGTAGATTAGCATAAACATCCATTCGAGCGATGCAAAAACAAGCAAAAGGATTATGCTAATTGTCATTCAAAAACAGTTGAAGGTCGGATGACGTAGAAAACCTGACCATGTAGCAAACTAGTAAAGATCAAAGCCCGAAAAGATAAGAAATAAAAAAGATGCAAAGCAGATGCTCCAAGCGTATCATGAGTTTTCTAATCCATCGCGCAAGAGTACAAACACATATGGCCAATAAGTACATAACTATGCTGCTCATAGCTGGTTTTTATTGTCCAGCATAGATCATAATAGTGCATTCTTAATGCGTACCTTAATGGGACATTAGAACTGAACTTCCTTTGATATTACACAAAACAGCTACAATCTTGAGAAAAGTAAATCAAAATAATCATAGATTGGATCGAGACGATAACAAAATGACCTCAAACAATCACATTGCTAGCCAAAGTCATGAAAATAAGAATGAAGGAAGATTTCGGCTGTAACTAAGCAAATTAAATCTCAGATGTACGATAGAAACTCCTAATGTTCAAGCATATTCCGCAGAATTTATTTACTCAATATGTTTGAAGGGGCAAATTTCATGTGACCACCTTATATACAAATCAAGAATTCAGCAATTCCTAGTCCGCATGACCTGTTTACGAACGGTAAATCTAGCAATTATAGATCGAATCTACATTTTTTTAGAAACGATCGTAATGGCGGATGTTCCGTCTGTCACTAAGAGCAAAGGAATCCTATCTTGCAATAAAAAACATCGAAGTGCCAAGAATTGAACTAGTTAGCTAGAGTTTGGAATTGACACTACTAAAAATTTACGAATTTTTGAAAAACGCTTTACAATTTTACCAAAATCAATTAATTTCAGATCTTTCCGACCCATTATTCCCATGATTCGAACGAAATCAGTATCCTTCAAAGCTTGTTATCTATCTGACCTTCTAATACTGCGTCTCATGTTTTGAAAAAAAAAATTCTTAGCTCTTAACGCCTCAGCCTGAGTCATCAGAATAGGTGATAACTATTGTTACGCTTTACGACATAAATCACATTTGTGGCTATTCAATCAGATACAATGATGAAATGCTCGAAATCCTCAGTATCGCCTAAAAAGCTGAATCAAAAGAATAGCCTTGAACGATAAAAATGAAGCTATTAGAATTAGCCGGTATTTGCAATTTTCGTAACGCCGTGCAACTGTGGATATCAACAAAAACCAAAAAACTAGAAAGTCTACTTCAGGCAAAAGGACTGTCTTTCGCATACACTATATTTTTGCCTCTACCGCATTTACGCAACATGTTTTATGACAAAACAAAATGAAAAGCCCACCTGCTCATAGTGGAATACTGGACTACCGATACACATCAAATGTCCAGTGAACCAGCTCAAAACTACTAAAATAAACCCATCAATCATCTAGTTGAATATTCATGTTCAAAACAACAGGAACATCCGGTAAATCTTTGTATTTGACAATGAGAAAATATTTTTCATGCACAACTCAACAAGATGAGCAGTTGGCACTCGTGTCCTGGTACTTATGACCGCAGTCAAGTGCAAGAACGATGTGATCACTCAACATCAAATGTACGGGGACGCAACGCAAAAGTGCTATTTTCGGCAAGTTTGATGGGAGGAGAGAGTAAAGAACCAACAACTGTGGTGGAGATTCATCTAAATCATTCAAATACCGCAGCAAACTGTCTCATCACGATAATTCATTTTCGATAGCATCTAAGTGAAAGAAAACGATGAACGAAACAAAAGTTTTGCATTCTCCAAGAGAATTTGAATGATTCATAGCAGATAGAACTTGAAAATTGTTTGTTGATGATCGCAGATATGAGCTTGGGGACAAAAAACGTTCGAACATACTTCCACTTCCTTGTCAAAAAATCTACTTCCGAGTAAGCTCTCGCGAATGCTTGGCTATGAAAATGTCAAATGGAGCGAGATAATTATTTCTTGCACTTGTGAACAAACAAAGAAAAAAATGCAGTTCTTATTTTTTTAACAAAAAAAAAACAAATCAACTTTGTGCGAATTTTAGCAATTTTAGCAGCTCTACGAAAATCGTACAAATGTGAAATGTGAACTAGGCAGATGCAGAGGCTCGAAAACAACCCTGCCCTTGCTGGCTATAGATTTTTTCTCGATTAAGCGCAAGAGCAAAGAATGCTTTGCGTGCAGCTCATTAAAAAGCATTTGCGCCGCTGATCTTTTCAATAGCATCATCCTTTCAGGTGTTCAAACAATCAAAAAATCAAGCGGTTTCAAGAGCCAGATACAGGAAATATTTTGTAGAACATGAATCACTATAGATGAGAAAAACGTAGCATTCAGAGGCGGACACGGGCGAGGGGCGCCTCCCTCCCCCCCTCCCCCAAGAATGGATCGCGAAATTTTTGAAACATGGTTACATGGGTTGTAAAAATGTACAAGTGACTTGTTTATTCTTGCAAATAAATGAAATAATTTTTAAAATTTTTCAGAAATACAAATTAACCTTAAAAGGAAATTTTGAGAAGCATCCCAAAATTGTTTCCGAGGTGCGTGGCTAACGCCGTGCACCTTCACTTAGAAAAACCTTTGTCACCCCTCTCTCTCCGGACGGGAATCCTGGGTAGTCTCATAACAGGACAACAATACACTTTGAGGTCTTGGCCAAAATATAAGCTTATGCAAGACTTTGGACATAAAAAGGGTGATGAAAGATAAGATAAGTCACAAATCGACTATTTCAATAAGTATGCAGTAATTCGTGACGATAGCGCTGGAATCGCACGATAAGTTAACAGAACTTTTTGATGAGAAAAATTGAGCTCAGGTAAGCAAATGATGGCATAAGGATGCAAATGTAACGAATGTAATCGCATTTAGCATTTAAGGATATGTAAGTCAACTGCCCTGCCCTTGTGCATCCGTACTTTTATCGGAAATAGTAAGTAGTGAGATGCAGACTCCAAAACTTCTCTAAAGTTCACGCAAATCTCTGTCTTGTTGGGATAAAATCGATATTGTCGCAAAGGAAGCATAGATGGAAAGCAAGGTTTTAGGGTGTAGTCCCGATCGCACATTCAAGTTATTTGAGTCACGCGCTAGACACCATTTGCACCGTATACGGTAATTATGACAGATTCTTTCGCGGAATTTTTGCAAACTTTTGCTGAAGATGAATTTAGACATTATTGCGTTCAAGACAAGAAGTGTAGAATGGTGAAGTCAACATAAGGCACAGGGAACAACAAAGACCATATAAGACATTATTACATGATAGAAAAGATGAAAGCTACGACGAAAAGTGTAAAAAACAACAATTTTCATCTGGCTGGAATATACTTCGGAACGATAAAGTATTACTGAGGCAGAAGAAAACTAGGGAAGATCTATAAGTGATGTTGAGCAAAGATCAGCACCTTCAACCTGATTGCTGAGGCGTAAGGTCTCGAATATACCTTGCGCGATTCCCCCAAAGTCGCGGCGATACGCGATCTGTCAGTCTGCCAGATGTCTGCAAATCCGCCGCGTGTGGAATTCATAAGTATAGGCGCATAGCTATTGTAAGCTTATGCGTACATGCCAAACTTACCTAAATGGTATGCCTACGGAAGATTATGGGCAATCGTAGCACTCAAAAATCGCGCGTGGACGAGGTACGGCCGATCCCTAAGAAGCAACAATGAAATTGTGAGAATCAAATGAGAAATAAAGCTGATCAGCACCAACTGTGCAGACTAGAACATCCAAACATTGAGTGCCTCAAAGAAAGTCAAAGACAAGACTAGCAAAAGTAGATTACGATAAGAGGATCTTCCCCCACACACTCTAAAATATGAGATAAGCAAGATGATCAATGAAGAACAACAAACTGACTTAGCATAAATCCACAAATTACATTTGAGCAAATTGAAGCACGTCATATTTAAGCTCAGCTATCACAAAGGGACCGAATTGTGAGTAGCAATGATGGCATTTCTCTGAAGTGACCAGCGAACATAAACAATGATTTTTTCAGTAATCTCCGTGCAGCCAGAAGAAGGAAAACAGATGATTTATTGTGATAATGATCTGTGGAAAGTAAGCAAAGGTTAATACTGATAAGGGAAGGTGCTTGCGCAATCCTGACTCATTCTTCACAAAGAGCTTACCATAAAACGCTATCTTTGAAAGCACGAGAGAGGAAAGGAAAGCCATTCAACCGTGAAAGAAAGGTGTTTACAAAGGGAGGGGGCATGTTGCGACCCTGTCGAACTGTTTAAAACAGTTCCAAATGAAAGAAGAATAAAATTTTGATCCGGGAAAAAAATGTGAACGTATACTAACTGAAAAATGAAAAAGGAAGCGTAAAATGCGTTAGTAAAATGAAGAAACAAAAATGTTGTAAAAAGATCAAAGCCAGCGGAACTTACAGAACAATCGCCGAACTGCTGCAGGCATCCAGCCGCAGCCCGCAGATGTAAGTGCGGCTGGTCGAAGAGTCTCCGTCTGCAAAACCGATAATGATCATATTTGAATGTGAAAGATGTCGCATTATGCAAAGATGCTGTTTTCGAAAAACTTCTAGAATGGGGCTAAAACAAGGCTTCCGAAGCTTCTTCCCAATGATGATGGTATATTTCAGGCAATTTAGAAAGCTATAAAATAAACCACACACTTCCTTCGTAATTTTGTTTTCTAAAAAGTTTTGAAGCCAAACTACAAGTATGCTTCTATCGAAATTTAACTTGAACTATAGCAAAGATGACAAGAGCTGCGCGTCATCTTGCTCTCCAGTATTCCCTCGCTAAATGGCAGGTAAACGATCAAAGGCTGTTCTTACAGACGCAATTAACCTCGCAAAAGAATTCATCACTTCCTGTTATGAAAAAAGTTCAGAACCATCCGCAGTTCAGAAGGGACATAGAGTACATCGCAACTACTTTTGAAACACAACTCTGAGATACAAATATATTATGTCTGAGTGAAGTCAGACCATTCTGTTACTCCCAATTTTTCGTACCTCTACCTCAAAGTGAAAAATTAGCCAATTCTAAAAACTGCTTTCGCAGCAGCGCGAGGGCAAAAGTACAGACTTAATCTAATATTATCAGCAAGAGTGAAGGTAGTGCCACCCTACTTTCGTATATGAACAAACAAACAATGCATGCCAAATATAAATTAGTTCTTGCTGACAGTCAGGTAAAAACGCATAGCCCTAATTAGATAACATCTCATTACAAAGGACGCAGAAAAATAGTGGAAAAGAGACAGTACGTCTCAAGATTCAGTGTTAATACTTTGAAACATTATACAACTGCAAAGACCAAGCACGGGAGACTAGAATGAATTACAGCGAGCCCCCATTGGTGGGCAATTTCATTGAAAAATATTCCAGAAATAAAGAACGCAGCAGAAATTGAACATGAGCCGAGTTTCCACAAAACCTGCTCTAAAATGGTGCGAAACGCGCGGTTGATACGGCCTGTCTTCTCATTCTCGACAGCGCCAAGTTTCTAAAAATTGTAGGCTTCTTTCTCAGACTTCAACAATGTAAATGTAGATCATGCCTACCCGATAAGCAGAGCTATGAGTTGTCTTAGTGAAAGTGACATAGCCGCAGCGATTTGGAGCCTTCACGGCCGTCTCGTTCTTGGAGCAGCGTTTTCAGTGACCAGAGGAATCCGCGAACGCGCCGCCAGCCCAAGCGAAGCGACCTTGGAGACACCGCTGTGACACCCTTACTGGTCCAGCCTTACACGCCTTGTACACGCACTGCATTTCCTAGTGATATGGTAAAGCTGATTGCTAATTACTCTAGCAAAGTTTTTTCCCAAAAGATGTTACCGTGCCATAAATAGTCTATTGGAAATGGTCATCGCTTGAAATTAAACTGTTTCGTGTTTTCTGAAACTCCTTTTTTCATGGAAAGGGGACCCAAACATACATCTCGTGCTCCAGATCACACCAGAACTAAAACCAAACTACAAACTACATTGTTAGTAGAGCGCAAAACAAATATCGAGCGTGGATAGACAACCAACACGGCTACGCGAGCCTAATCTTTACAAGACTTGGCAAACAATCAAAGCATTTCGTTACTGGCGCGACTGGTCGCAAAAGTTTGCAAGCGGTTCGGTAAGCCGGGGACAAATGGATCAATTTATGGCCAGCCTAAGAGAAGAGAAAATCTTATGAGTCGCGAAACGGGAACTTTAGTCCCTTAAGCACTTCACAAACTGAGAAGAACAACCTCTCAAGATCTACCAAATTTCTGTTGAGATGGTGATTATTGTTTTTTTTTTAGAAATTCTAGCTTTCCAATGGACAAAATGTAAGTCTCTTGTAAAAAAAATTGCTTTCATAAATAGCACAAGTGAAGCACAATAAATTGTAACTACTGTTCAATTTCGATAACTTTGGTCCCACCATGTAACACAACAAATACTATGCAAGATAACAATAATTTATCCATACCTTACAAAACAATTGTTCAAAACAAAACAGTTGAGTTTAGACGTACAAGAAAAAAGGAAAAAAATTAAAACGACAACCAGGTGTATCACAACAATCAAAGGTTATTACAGAACTCGGGACTCGTCGTGACGGTAAAAATTTGATGAAATAAGAGAAGAAAGGAAAGAAAGGAAAGCCGGGTAACAATACACAGGTCTCAAGGCTTTTCCAGTAAGTTAAAACCTAGTCATAGATCTCAAACTTCAATGATCAACTGGAACTGAAAGCAGACCAAGGGCACTAAAGAAAGGGTTGATAAGCAATAAACTGACTCATTCTAGGGTAACTTTCTAGAAACTGCGTAAAAACACAGTGTGAAAAGTAGGGGAAAAGCGATGATGAAAATGATATGATGCTAATGCAGATGAACAACTTTGACCTTGTTCGGGCATAGTTAGCAAACTATGATCTGTTTAGTTATTGCAAGCTTCACAGATCAAATCACATCAGATGAAACCGACTCGTTTTCAAAAGATGAAAATATCATAATGATGGCGAAAACTAGGAAGAAACATCATTTTGCGACTAAGTGCAGATTTCGAAAGATCAAGACTTTCTCTGCGATTGATTGCTTTTTTAGATAGTAGAAAGAATGAATGAATGCATTACAAAATTTGGGAAAATTATCGAGGTGTCCTCACCAAATCCTTTAGATAACAAACAAGAAGGCGCATCGAAACCAGTTTCAAAACATCTGAGTTAGTCCAATCCCGGAAATCGATTCACTTCTCCTTGTATCTTTTGCTGTTGGCCTTTGGAGGTGTAAATCGCTCGTGTACGCATCCGTAACTGAAAAACGCTGATAAGTCATCACGTAAAGGCCATCAAACAGATACAGACTACAAAAGGATTATCTCATAAGTCTAGTATGCGACAGGTTTCAAATGTAAAAGCACAATAATTTGCACCATCTTATTGTTAGAGATTTACCCTAATTTCACGCATATAAGGCGCGGAGGATTTTTTTCCAAAATCGACCAGCCCAGACAAGCCAAAGGACTTTACAACCAAAGGACTCTATATAGTGCTGTATATTACTTGAGAAAATCGTGCGATGTAAGGATTTCTTTCCGGTATACAGTGAAGCGGCTGAGCGGCTGGCTTGAAAATTCGAAAAAGCGTGAAATTAGGGTAATCAAGATTAGCTTATTGTCAACAGCTTCAAGTCATTTCATTCTTTCGTTGCTTGTTATGTCATTTCTGATCCATGCGCTATGCCTGACTATTGCCCTTGGTACTCGTGATTTTTAGGGAAGAATTTAAGAATTTACATTGCAAAGCATTTGCACCACGTGTAGCAGAACGTGACGATTAGTGTAACAGCGAATTTCCCAAAACCACATGGTAACAATCCTCATTACGCATGCACTCGCCAGGCAATCAAAATTCAAAGAACAGAACATCGAAAGTGAGCCCAAAATTAAGCCTCAGATTAAAAAAAAATGGCGGTTCAGTACGTGGTATTTCGGACCGTGTAACAACCTGGCCATTCGTATCCAAATGAAAAAAATTGCGGTGAAAATTCATAGCTATTCATTTACGATAAAATTAAAAGATATGAGCATAAAGAACATAGGATTAGAAATGTGGAAAGGCAGCAATAGTATCTCCACTTACTGGATGTCCGCGAGATGTCCTCGTAATCTTCACTATTTGAGTGATTGTAGATCCGCCCATAGGCTCCAGAGTTGTGGATGAAGGCGTTTGCAATTCGATAGTGAAAGCCTACAACACGTTACTCATTGCTTGTAAGTGAAAACGTATAAGTCTTCATCATGGCACAGAAATAAGCCTATACCTACACTACGAATATTTCCAAATCAAAATCATACCAATAAAAGTAAAAGCAATGAAGCAAACCTTGGTAACAGCTGCTTGGAAGGCAAAGTCTTGTACTTGCACCGGCGTATTATTCGTTATTTCCACTTGCATTTGAACGCTGTCCCCAGACCATCCTCCGCCAAGGACCATGATGTGAGCTTCTATTCCGCTACTGTTCAAAGCAACAACACGTTCGGCGGCTGGAGCTCTGCAAGGTAGATAATCAAAATAACTCAGAGGTCGGAGCCAAACATGTAAAATGCGAATGACGCCGCTTACTCACACAGGTGCGGCAGCTGCAGCAGGAGCTCCAAATCCAGCAAGCAAGTCGAATGGATCAGCAGCAGGAGCTGCTGCAGGAGGAATGGGATTTGAAACAGATACCGACGAAAGTGCTGGAAAATGTGACAACAAAAATCTTCAGGTACAACAACAACGTATGCCAGCTCTAACCTCCTAGGAGATTATTGTCAACAACAGAGTTTGTCGCAGGTATCGTCGGAGCAGCGGATCCACCCATGAGATCAAACAAGTCGTTATTGGTGCTCTATAAACAGCTTTGTATACATTAGATGCATGCCGCGTTTCTCACTTAGAATTATTCTGCGAAAATCACAATAGAAACCAGGATCGGAGTGAATAATTGGTTCGCGGTCTCACTTAGAATAAATTATTTCCGAAAATCACAGTAGAAATCAGGATCGGAGTGAATAATTGGTTCGCGGAAAAAGAAAAAAGGGAAGGTTCTCAAAAATGGGCCGGCCTACATGTGAATAGCAGAAAGAGCCATGGAGAGGAAAAAGAGATAAATCTGCGAGAGTTTTTGCTAACATAATGGTCAAATAAACAGGACGTGTGTGAGAAGCTTACCGTCTTGACGGGGGCAGCAGGTGCTTCTCCAAGTCCAGCCAGCTGGTCGAGCAAGTCGACGTTTGAAGTCGGAACGGTGGCGTTTGCAGGTGGTTGCGCATCTTCAATGAGGCTGGGTCCATCTTCTATCGGTGCCGCAGCAGCATTTAGTGAGTTATGGGTAATCACAGGCATCCGCTCAAGTAGCCCATATCTGGAAAAAGAATGGATATTCTTACTTACCCACTGAGATCATACAAAAATCAACTCACTTCAAATCCCCACAATCCAGAAGACGTGAAAACTCGACAGATCGCTGTTGAAGTTCTAAGTGAAGATGTGCCTGATTTACTTTGACTAATGCTACGATCCGGTCTACAGTAGAAGTGAACCTGAAATCGACAATCCGTAAATTTAAACTGTTTTCATCTAGAAGATGATTAGCATTCAGAAGATGATTAGCACAAACCTCGTGGCTAGTTTCGCCAATGCGGTAACAGCATAACACTTTGTGGACAAGGATGTTAGGGTTGATGGGAGTACATGTTCAAAAACTTCAACAACATCACTTTCCTCAACCTGTAATAGTGAGAATTTAAGAAAAAAACCATAATATATTTTTCCCAAAATGTCGATGACAGCTCAATAAGGCTGACAAATAGTAATTTTCTAAGCATGATATTGACAAACCTTAGCCGAGTCAGCATCAGCAGGTTGCAAGAGAAGATCTCCGAACTCGCCAATAGTCCAAAAAGCCACCTAAACAGCAATACTGATGAAAACATATGGCTTTTAGGGAAAGAAAAACTGTAGAAAAGTAAAAAGGCACCAAATTCGACCTTTTTATCGTAGCCGAAATTAAAAAGGGGACAAAAAAAAAACGTGTCAAACCTGCAAAAGCGGTTGAGCATTTGTCGAGTCAAGTTGGGCAGCATGGAACAGTTGTACGGCAGCGTAGTGTTGTAGCTCTCCATGCGAAGATATGAGTTGTATCATACATGAAACGACCTCATCTGGCACATAATTTCCAGCCTCAAAGCAAAGAATCAATCATCAAAGATCCGCAATAGCAAGAGATTGTATACATGAAGATACTCACCAAGCGAAGAACAGTGATCATGGTGTCTAGATGCCATTCGTGATTTGGTGAGAACCTCTCCGTGGCAACATACATTTTTGATGCACACTCGGACTGAAGGAAAGAAAATTGCATCCAAAATGGACAAACAATTATCAAGATGCCTACCTTAAACTCCGGGTCAGCGGTTTCCAAAAATATCAGTATTTCTTTGGTCATGTTTGCTATATTAGTTTTGTTCATCAACGCAAAGCATAACTCCATCGCTCTCCTACAAAAGATATTGCTAGAAGGCACAGAGGTAATTTTATTTACATATTAAACGAAGATAGACATGTGAAAGAATAAGAAATACCCAAAAGATAACCCACTTTCTTATTGAAACATCTGGATCCTTCAAACAATCTACGACCGTTGTACGATGACGCTGGACTGCTTGGTAGTCGATTGCAACAGTTTTCAACAACGTGTTCAGTGCCACATACCTAGAGGTGACAAAATAGACGAAAAAAAATTATGGTTGATGTACATGCAAGATTGTACCTTATGTTCTTGTCTGGATTGAGCAAGAACCGTCCAAGAATATTTACAGCCAACACTCTCAGACCGCTTTCACTCTTGATTTCCATGATCGTCAATACTGTCTCGTAAAGGATAGCGTTTCCTACGTTTTTAGCTGTTTCTGTATTTGTTGCTACCTGAAATGATACTGTCACTTTCAACAATCAAAATTCATCGAGCTTTCTGATAAGATGACTGCGCTGAGCCAACAAAAAGCTGGCAAGAAAAAAAAAGAATGAATTATAGTAAAAAAAGCAAAGATCAGGAAATTGCAGCTATTTACAATTACACTCACTTGAGCAAGTATATCGTTCATTTCTTCGGTAGCTCTTGAATCGTCTTTACCCAGAACTCTTAGCAGACGCAATATTTTCACCTAAAGCAAGAAATGAATATAAAACAAAACTAAGTATATATTCAAGTACTGTAAAAAATGTTCTTGATTTCAAAATATAAAAACCTGTAAGAAAGGATCACTGATCCCAGTTACATCATGTTCCGGTGAATAGCCACTCATGAGGAGATTCTTGAGAATACGAACTAGATTCGGCACCAACTAGAAACAGTATTCAATAACTGAACGAAATGTTGGCAAAAATAAATCACCATAACAATGAAATAACGGCAAACGGTGAAAAACTTTTATACATATGATTAGTTACGATGTGCAAAGACCGACTTTTTTGAAGTGATTCAATACATCCGGGCTTCGCTCACACATTTCAGTCACAAGTGTCGTAGCACCCATGAGAACACCTGAGGCAGTAGATGTAATCAACTATATCAAGAGATTCGCGTCGCAGCTCACCATGGTTCTTTTCACCAAGAAGTGAACGAGTACAAGAGATAAATACTTCCATCAACTCAGGAACCTTTCTTACTACTCGAAATGCGCATAAAGCAGCCTATATAAGCGAACTTCAGATAATAAAAGTGAAAAACATTTACAAGTGAAAAACCAATGTGAAAATACCTTTTTCTTTATATAAGTATTACTACTTTTCACCAGCCGTTCCACTTCATTTGCTAGATCACGACACATTTCGGCTGAACATATTGAGCCAAGGGTACACAAAGCTAATCCAGTCACAAACTGAGTAGATGCATTCAGATCACTGGAAAACCAATAATGAGCATCAAGAAAAAATAGAACAAAGAGAGGACTGAGCCACAAAACAAGATAAAATGAGAGGCTCACTTCTTTAACGAGTTTGTAACAAGTAAGTGAACTTCGGAACGTTCGTCCAGTAGCAGCATCGCACCGAGATAACCTATCCGTTTGTCAGTAAAACGAGGTTGTGCAACAAGTTTCATGCATTCCATCTGGAAAGACGTTAAATTCAAACCCGGAGGAGAAATATTGTAGTAATCGGAATGACAAAAAATTCTAGAAATTCAAGAGAACCCGGCCACATCTGTTCGAAGATAGTAAATCGACGTCAATTGCCAATAAAGAAAAAAGAAGTAAAAAATGTGCCAAAACAAAATAAACGATGAAAAAGAACTAACCTGTCCAAAATGAGCAGGATATCCAAGCATGTGTATGTAGAGCAATTTAGCTATATTACGGCATTTCCATGGTGAATCATCTTCCCGAAAATTTTCTCTACAAAAAAAGAGATTCAGAAAACTCAAAAGATAAAGTAAAGAAGGCTTAGCTAGAACAAACCTTATATTAGCGCTCTCTCTATCCACCACAGCTCTTTCTTCTGCCATGGTACGTGCTGCCCGAACTTGGCGTATAAGATCACGTAAACGCATAGGAGTACCCAGCGTGCTGCAATAATGTCAAACTTATTCCCACATCATTCAGAATGAGTAAACTTTTATTAGGTTACTTGCTCTAAATTTAGAAAAAACTGCTTGCCAAAAATCAGGGCAAATGAAGAAAATACAAAACTAAGAGCTAAAAAAAATTAAAACTTAAATTAGAATTGAATAAATTGAAACTTCATTGGGAAGACGCTTATAAAACTGATGCTCAAAAAAATTATGTGCAGTATCATTGTTACGTCAGATCTCACTTGTCATCCTTGCTCACTTTACTCTCCAAGTGACATTTTCCATTCATAGCCTTTTTAGCACTAAAATATGCAAGTCTAAAGAAACGTCCTCTCAAAACGCACTTGCCTGTCAATCAACATAAGAAATTTTAGCGATGAAATTTTCCACGTAAGAATGGTATTATTTCATTGATATATTCAGCACTGCAAGCATCAATCTGTGAATCCAGAGCCTCATCACTAGCTATTTTAAAGGAATCATGTCCGTCAATGCCCTCGACTGCAGCGTGCACGCTTTTTCTCACAAATTGCATTTGGAATCTGACGCAATTGGGTGAGATTGCAAATTGAGCGTTAAAAAGGAAGTAATCGATGGGAAGAAGGGCAGAATTTCAGACCAAACGGGAACAACAAGCGCTATTTTTGTGACCGGAGGAGCTACAGCAGCATTTTACACAAATAATTCGCGATAAAGGGCCTAGATAAAGAAGTAACTCATCGATCGAAAGGAGAAAAAATTGACGTTCATTTTCTAAGTCTAATGCCACGGAACTGCAAACTCGAGATTTTAAGATAAAATGGATTTGAAAAAATTGAATAAATAGCGTCTTTTGGAATAACGATAAGACTGGTCCCAATGACCCTCTGGAATGACTATGATCTCTCTTCATTCCAGAGGAGTATAAATCATGTTCGCGTAAGAAAAATAGCTCGTTCAATCTTTTTGGCACGGCTTAGGTAAAATGCAGTCACCCGCAAACCATCAAAAGCTTATATGGCCAAAGCTGTAAATTGCTGCCAGTAAAAAATGCACTAGAAACAACAGCAAAATAAAAACTAAATAGGCTGTAAATAAGCTTGAAACACCGAAAGATTCTACAATAAGAGTTGACTACACGTTTCACAAACCAACCAATAAATATCTCAATTGAGAACTCACCTCAAAAAATATAACTGCCAATTAGTGTTCATAATGGATTAGATTAATCAAATCAATAACATCGATATAAGCAAGACCGAAGTAAATGCATCTCAGTCATGATCACGATAGCTCTTGAGCTTTATGCACACAATCCAGCCTATCTGCTAGCTATGATGTTTACTAGATAAACAATAAGGGTATGACAGGTGCGCCGAAAGGGGATTGGGCAGCGGCACATGTGAAAGGTGGATATGTTGGATTAACACGATAAATCTTTTGCAAAGTTTACCTGCAATGCTCCGATTATTGAGAAAAATGTATATTTCTGCTGGAGCACCTTTTTCGCGCTCTACGAAAATCAATAGCATTTCTCGTAAAATATAGACTTTTGAATTCTAACAGGTGAGCTAATGAGAGTGGACAACGGACAAGCTGGGCTGAAACAATGCTGGATTACTACGTTCCATAGTAGCCAGCTGGAAAAATCTCAACTTTTAGGCTTTTGGAAACGGTCGCAAAAAGTCAAGTTCGCACACTCGAAGCAAGAAAATGAAACTTTATAACTTAAAAATTAATAGGCACGAAGAATTTCATAATCTGGAAATTTCTTTTGTCTGCATTTCTCACAAAGTTCCAACCACATCCTGAAATATTAAGGCTAGGCAATGAGCTCAAGATAGAGTTATTTGTAATCCTTTGAACATCCATCAGCTAATATCTAATAGTTCTATCTAGACTCATAATTCCATCTATTTAGTGCAGCAGATACCATGAGCAGAGATTGGCTTCTTGAGTCATAGATAAATTTCCAACTAACACTTATAAAGGAACTCAGATACTATAAATTGTATGTTATAAAATTGTTACAACCACACAGATTATGCAATAACCGAATAAAGCACATTCTAAAGCAAACTTGGAGTCATCGATTACCTCGCGCTAGGACCTTTTTGCTTTGAAGCATTGTTAATGCAGCGTGCTTAGCCCAAATTTGCCCTAAAAGAACGCCAGGGGCTCCAGAGTTCGCCATGTCCGCGGTACTTACTAAAAAGCATTTTGAAGCAGTAATGTAGAATATGAAGCGTCTTGATGTTGACCGCTGAAGATTTGACCTTATCAACAAATCAAACAGTTTCATCACTGCCAACTCATTTACGTTGTATACACTAACATTAAAGCAAAAAATTGAATAAAACAGCCATTCTCCTATGCTTGAGTGGTTATCATTTGATACTAACAAACAGATCTCATAGGACAACAAAAAAAGAAAAGATTTTTTTCGAGTTATCAGGGAATTTTTGTGACCTTTGCCACTGAGAGTTTTTACACACACAAAATTCAAAAGGATGTAAAGCAGTAGCTCCAGTCTCTTCATTGGTTGACGTAAAATTGAGCCTTTCGAATAGCGCCTTACTGACATCCGCTAATTCAAGAAAATAACTGACATGTGAAAATCTCAATCCAAACGCTATTGGCTTCAAATTTGCCACAAATATCCATGCATAAGACTTTTTTGTTAGAAGGAACAAAAAACTACGCGCGTTCCGCAGACCGCAAAGTGCGAAAATCTCTTAATGCGATTGATACTTAACAGATATAAAAAATCTACAAATTTAAAAGAAGTAAGAAGAAGGCATACCCCATTTTTGCAAAATGAGATCGTTCCGAGTATAAGAAAGCCGGAATATTGGGAGTAACATGTAGCGATTCAGTGAATCTGCTGGACGGGAATGTTGTTCCCGAATGCATCCAGCCCATGTTAGCCATCGTAACACGAAATCAATACCACGACCGAATTGTGTTGATGATGCTATTTCTGATGCCGAAGACGAAAATCTTCAACCAAAGTTCCATCTCTAGTGAACTGACAAAAAGAATGATCTATTTTCGACCAACCATATGGTAGGAACAGTTATGAATAAACGCTGCTTCAACAGTGCAAAAGCAGCCTATGAAGGAGACGTCAATTGACGTGTAACATTAAAAAGTGCAGAAACGAGATTGAAAATTCATGATTTGAGAGCATATAAAATGCTTTGATGAACGATGCAAGCAACTTTGATTTGCTAACACGAATCCACCCCCCTCCCCATGAAAGAACGTTATCGCGAATGACACCCCTACAAATTGATTCCGCTACTTTTTCTACGGATACATTCCCACTGTTGCTCCCTGGCGACTGCGATAAAACAGAAAGTATCTGATTCTTTCAGTGGCTGCTTACACCAAAACATCCTGGAGTTGACTGTGGAGACCATTAATCTTTTTCCAAGCACATTAATGCCATTGATAAGAATCACTAAGAAAAGATTAGCTGACCGTATAAGTCATTCTATAGAAAAAAGGAGCATAAAAATAAAATGAGCATAAAAGTAAACTATGACCCCAATTCAGTCAATAAATCATTGCACGTCTGATTTCAAAAAGCAAACACATAAGGAAACAAAAATTGAAAAAAAAACCCTCGGAGAAACGAGACATATAAAGTCGCACAGAAAATTGAATTTGCTCAGAAACATATAAATCTAACTCACACATCTAGCGTGGCACTGATTAACATACGAGCACCGTAAAGATTTCAAGAAGTCGACAGATAACTCGAATGGGAATCTCACGCTTTGATAAAGCAAGAATTGTTTAGTCATGCACGTAATCGATTCCTGTAAGGACGCTCGAAAGATTAAAACAAAAATCGATATTATGATCGGTGATCCGATAAGCTTCAAAAACTTTTCGGTAGTACAGCAATTAATCCCAATAAAAACTTTTTGAAGGGAGAAAACAATTTGTAAAGCAAAGAGGCAATCCAATTCCAAAGACACGAACATGCAAAAACGATATATATACCAAGTTCAAATGCCACGTTGCACCGCTTACAACATCAAAGTTTGATGGAGGAAAGATGTATCAAAACATGTATGCTCGCCCATTCGCAATAACAGAAGGTAGTCACATTTGTTTGAACGTAGTAGAAGAATTTTTTACGACAGCATCCCAGTCTAATCAAATGTGGCATGAGCGTAAACGAACTAATGCGACATTCAAACTCTAAACTAATTTTCCAATATCGGTTGACGAGCGTAACTGTTGATAGCTTTGATGACATTCCTATTAAGAGATGCAAATGTAGGGGTATATGCTGTATATGCTGACACGACGGCAGGATAGAATGAGACTGAACGCTCCATTTGTAGGAACAACAATGAAACGTTTTCGATAGTAATCCCTTTGAAGGTCAATCGACATCTCATGAAATCAAGTCCGAGAATTTCGATGAAATCTCAAGACAAGAGATTTGATGCTAAATGCTTCGAAGCAACCGTCTTGACATGTATTCCTACAAAAACAAGCGAGAAAGATAGACAAAATATGTGAATGCAAAAAAGCGGCTTTCCTCCTTATACGGTTACGCTCTGTCTCCCAAATCGCCCAAACCAGTTCCTTTAGAGTGGATAATGCTGTATTTCATACCACTAGCAACTCAGTCTTCCGAACAAGGTGCAGTTGAATGAAGTCAAGAAATATCCGTCCAGCAACTATAGTAATCAGTACCGAATTAATGTGGAATGCACTACTTTAAAGGCAGGGCTCGGCAAAGGGACTCCTGTCCGATTTTGGTAGCGTTAGGTAGTATACACCCCAAGCACACCATATTCCCAACCCCAACCTCCAATTCATGCGCTAAGTCCTGGAAAGGCGCTTCGAATTTCCATCACGCCCACTCGATGGAAGTGGGTGGGGCTGGTGTAGTTTTGGAGTTCCTTTTTAGGACATAGCGCTTGAACTGGAGGATGGGGTTTGGGCTGGTGCGCTTAGGGGATCTACTACCTAACGCTACCAAAATTGGACAGGAGTCCACTCTGCCAAGCCACTGCCTTTAAGAATTGTATCTCGCCACTCCGTAACGGCTCTACACTAAGAACACAACGGTGAATCAAAGGGAGAAACTGCAGAATCACACAGCCACCTCTATCAAGTACGGACTGACTCAGCCCATCGCGTTCATCAACATGTAGCGAAAAAGACTGATATACCGATGAAAAATTGTAACTTATATGTGAAAGCCGACTGAATAATCATAAATTTACCGTTCTTGACAACGAGAATCATAAATCGAAGAGTAAATAAGTTCCATCAACATGATGATAGTGAAAAAATTGCTTGTTTGGTGGAACCAATAAGTTCGATTTGATCCATTTTTGCCTGATCCAAAAAATAACCTCATAGATTTTACAAAAGCTCAATAAACGAAGTTGGCAAAACGAAGCTGATCTTCATTCTTGTTCAGTCGACAGCGCATTTTAACTACGGGTTATGTGGAGCCTGCCGGTAAAACTAATACTAGTTAGAACATTGCCTAGAGGGGATACCAGCAAATTGTATGACCATTACACAAATTAGCAACAGAGCTTCCCGAATGTTACGCTGGTTATAGGTAAGTGCTATGTATTAGAGTTGCAACGCAGAAAAAGGCTTCCTCGCTTCATCGTAAGTTGATGTCATATTAAGCATTGAAAATTTAGCATGTCAAACTCACTGCACAAAGATCAACAAATTGTTTTCAACCCACAGAGTTTCCCAAGCGAAAAATTCAATTAGGTTGGCGGATAATTTCTGTTACACTTTTCAAGTAAAATTCTGAAAAATTCCAGAAGTCCTCCAGACTTCAGAGTTGCTCCATTTGTAGGCCACGGCAGGGCGTATACAACACTAAGACTGATGTCGCAAATGCACAAATAGCTTGGAAATAATTTCATTCAAAAATTATTCTTCATGTTTAAAAGGCGAATGTGCGCTGACATGGCGCAACATGTTGTGCGTGTGCGCACATGATTGTGCCATCCCCCTAAATTCGCGAAAAACTATGGAAGATACCCTGCCCGAATACCACATTGCCCGGTTTCTTCCTGATCACCTGGAAAAATGCCAGCCCGCTCACAAAAATGTCCATACGTACTCCCACCGATAAAGTAATTTGCGCACGAACCGCGGATCTGACAGTACTCCGGCGGGTAGAGCTTTGCACCCCGTCAACAACCCCAAACATAAGAATTTTTAAAACTTCCTTAGATTTTTAAGATATGAAGATAGAAGTGTAACAGAAATTATCCGCCAACCTAATAAATCAAGCCACCAGCAAAGTTTACGATGAGTTCTGATTTAGCTAAAGCGATACTGTACCGCTTTTCGTAATCAACCAAATACCTGAAGGAGCTTCAGGTTTAACATTTATACTTTTTTCCGTGAAATATCTTAGGTGTGGACAACGAAAGCCTAAAGAGACAAGACCAGTAAACTGAAAAACTGATAATCAAAAGCGCGCCTTATGAATATTATAGATGCATCTGCATAACTTGCAAGATTTCGTTTAATTATTGAAAACATTCAAAGTTTGCTATGAAAAGACAAACAATTCTGAAAATACGTACCGGCCAATCCTCGACTTGACCTCGTCGATCTTCTCGATGGCCATCTCAACTGCGGTCGCCATCGTTGATGGGTTTAACTAAGCCCTCTTGATGAGAGCGAAGATTTGCCGATAAAGACCTGATGATGAATAGCGCTAAGAAGAAAATTTACGCCAAACGATTTTGAAGCGCGACGGTAGCTGACAAACATTCCGTGAAGAAAAAACGCAAAGCATACAATGCTTCAATCACGAAGCAGAAAGACGGATAGATGTGCTGAGCAAGTTAATCAAAAAAATGACGTAAGAAAATCGAGAAAAGCTAAAGTTTTAACAAAATTGCGGATTGTTCACTGCAAGTATTGATTAGTAGTAAAGCGGACAAGAATTCGTAATCTGATAGGAATCAAATGGACAATTGCACAAACTGCGAGTGTAAAATGAGAGCCGGGATTGCACCCGCTGAGCTTTTCTTAAGTAAGCTCCACAAGAAAAAAGAGGAGTAATTACCGAGTTAGCACTCAGCGTTTACTAGTTAAAATGTGAAGTGAACTGCACGACAGCTGCCAATTAAATTCATTAGAAGGTGGACTTCGAAACAAAAGATACAAGTGCAATCAATAACTGGTGATAGCTAGATTAAGAAAGAAAGGAAGCTATGCAGATATTAATCTGTATATCTCAACTGAGCTTATGACGGGAGATGAAACCTAAATGCTTGCTAGTCGAACAAATGTCCAAAACACACCCCAAATGCAAGTTTCCAAACAAAAAACATCAAATCACCAATTGCTGTAAAGTAATGCATGAAAGCAACCAAGAACTCAACTATACAAGAAAGGAGAAACTTGAATAATCAAACTCCTAAATTATTCATTACGATTGATCGATTAGTCTTAGCGTAAATTTGTGCAAATTCACGCCGGCTCTGCACAACACGTTGCATATTCAACCGTCGTGATACTGCAGACAAGCCTGAGCTTTTGCTTCCGCGTGTCTCCAACCGGATTTTTTCGAATTCAATTAAACTCGTTAGAGTAGCAATCTAGGTGATAAAAAAGACCATGCATTGATTGCGAGGCCTTCGTACACAGCACTTTACGAAAATCAATTCAAACTGATTGACAAAAGTCAGTGGTGAAAAATTGCGCGACAGGCTGTGCTGGGCGACGATTGCGAAATCGTGAAAAATTCCCAACATAAATCTCCGTTTAATACAATCGAACGGGGCAATCGAAATTCGCTGTGACCATATGTTCTAGCGGTAAGAGGTCTCTATCAGTCGATAAGAATTCTAGCGGTTCGATTTGCGGAGTGCCAGTTGTGGGAATAGATCGACAGCTTATGTAAGAAAATAGTCTTGAAAAGCGTTCTTCTAGCATAAAATGATTATTTTCCCCTTTAGCTTTGGTTACGGTCAAGATTAAAACAGTTTCAAAAGTGTTGTTAATTGCAGTGCTTTAATGAATCCTAACTCAAATAAGATTTATCCAAAGGGTGAAAGAGAGGCCGTACTAGTTTCGAACAACTCTACTGGTTCTTTCCTATACTAGACTTTGGCCCTATCCCCTTTAGACCTTGATATTTCAGTCTGAAAGATCTAAATTGCCAGTTGTCTTCATATCCACCCAGTAACCCCACAAAAAAGTTCATTTGTCGGGACATTTTTTTTTCAAAGTGAGGGTGTTGAAGAACTTCCGCAGAAAAGAGTCATAAGAAATCCAAGAATTCGAGAAATGAGAAATTTTCTGCATTTTCTAGCTGCATAGAGAATCTATGCCCAGCTTTACTCTATTGTATTATTTTTAGGGCCCTAGGTATAACTAGAATATATCCAAAAACTATAATTTTAACTGTAATTATTATAAAACTAGGTTCTGTAATGTTCTGCTTCTTTCTACAGATTTGGTACATCTTCAACCTGTTCGAATTTTTTGGAAAAAGTGAAGGGAGGTACGATTATTCTTCCAAAAGTGCAGTAGCATAAAAAAATTCTAGAATTTTCAAGTACACTATTAAGGTATGAAAAAAGAACTGCATTCGAGGTGTTTTTTTTTCGCATTTTACTTGACTAATGACTGAATATTCTTCTACTAGTTTGTTTGTGCTCTGAGCTTCATTAGTTTTGCAATAGACTTGGATTGAAAAAAGAGAAAGCATTTTTGTAAGGTCTAATTGCTTCCGTGCTTCCGTTAAGAAAAGATTCCGGAAGCGGAAGTACCGATATAATCGAGCTGGTTATGTTTGCTGCGGCCAAGCAGTGTGAAATATGAATCCTTGGGAATTTGAGGTTCCAGTGTAAACCCTGGGTAGCCTAGCTCATGAACACACTATGATCAACAACGTAGATACCATGGCAACGTCTTTATGTGTTGAATTCAATGTCAGCAATTTTTATAGCAATCTTGCATTCTCTCTCAGCTTATTTTCGATTGTCTGCTTTACAAAAATATCAGTGACTACAGGAAAGAACCTCCAGAAAAAAGTTGCAGAATTTAAATACTCTTTCAACATTGAAGTGTACGTGGTTGGTGGATTGGCACACTTCTATTCCAATGGATTTCTTAAACAAATTTATTGAGAGCACATTAGGTTTATTGTTTGTAGCAAACTGCACTCTTTGTAACTACGAGATCAAGCCGGATTTCCCTTGTTTACCTGCAATAGCAAAATAGAATTTTACCGAAGTATGGTACTGTCGAGCCTCAAATTCTGAGATTGTCGTTTGTTAGAGCAAAAAAATTGGTGTTGAAATTTCAGCTATTTTCAATGGTGCTGAATGAAGAAGCTTTCGCTCAACAGTTATGCAAATTTTCAGAACAAAAGCAGACAGATCGTCATCAAAAATTATAAAATTAGCGTTTCCAGCTTTACAAACTTAGCGAAAAAAAAACAAAAAATTTACAAAAATTACAACTTTTTATATTTTTTTACAAAAATTTCTACAATATTTCAGGATACATAAATATCTGAGGAGTTGCGCTGCAACATTATTATCTATTCTTTTTACACCTACGAATTACACGTACGGCACTACACCTGAGCATAAAAATACTTGATTATGATCAGAGCCATATGCCGAGCCCAGACCATCCAACAAAATAATTATTTCCGTCTACGGAAACGTTTTCAAAACATGCAGTGTTACTCTGGAAATCATACCATGAAGTGCTGGCTGAAGAGAGGGATTCTACCGAAAAGTCAATAAGAATGGAGGGTGCATATGGCTCAACCCGTGAGAAAGTCATATAATATGGTTGGCAGTGTGAATGTAAGCTTCAAAGCAAAAAATCTGTGCACATTTCGCGCAGTCATAAAGGATGAGCGGTGAAGCTCATTTTGATCATGGTTGTCGAGATACGGATGGTAGGAAGCGAACCCAAAACGAGTCGGAATCAGAAGAAGGGTAAGTTTCGCTACCTGGAGGGTCAAGCACGATGGACTGGCTCCGGGGGTGGAACCCGGGATGCCAAACTCGTTTCTGGTATTTACACACTAATTTTTGCAACATACACTTCAGGACGAAAATGGTGCCATAGGCTATTTCGTTAATAGATGATATAATTTCCGAGTGAGCAGAATTAGTCAAATGGTTAGCGCTCCATGTAACATTACTGTGCTAGAGATTACGAGTTTAATTCCACCCTCAGCACTAAAATTCTGCTCACAGTCTCAGAGCCAGGCTGCACTTCAAAGAAGAGCATGCGACAAGCCGGTTGAGAAACATCCCATCTCATCAAGGTGCAGACATGTCTCATAAAGTAGCTCGAGTAATGGCTAGGGCGTCCCCGGAAGCGACTCGCATTCGAGGCCGATGAATGCAAATAGTGGACGAGGGTTACCGTCTCAGCAAGGTTAACGGGGACGGCTGAAGCGGCTAGTTCATCATAGATAACGATTCAATTTGATTCAGAGTATCCGTCTTGCCAGCATGTATACATTCACCCGGGTGTATGTCGAAAGGCGCGCGTTTCGGAAGTCGTCATTGCCAAGAGGGATTTTTACTCTACAAAAGCGAATTTTCCAAACTCCTAAAGTTTTGTCATCATATGAAAAGTAGAGGTCACTAGTTGAATCCCGGAAGACCGATGTCGAACTTTTTTGCTGGTTTTTCTGATTAGTGACAATCGATCAATACGCGCCATTCGACCGTCTCCCCAGTCACTTCTCGTTTTCTAGAGCTGGCAGATCTTCTGAAGAGACGGCGAGTCGATGTAGCCGGCACACAGGAAAAGAAGTGGAAAGGGGCAAACAATGCGACATTGGTGATGGATTTAAGCTCCTTTAAAAGTTTCGATCTGCACCAGAAAAGGGGTTGTAGCTGTCTCGGAAACTCTTAGGAGCGATAGTTGACGTTGGGCGCATAACCGATCGCTCTAGCATAAAGATTGATACCGAGAGCAGGTCCTATAGCTGTACGAATGCACGGCCTGAAGCTCCACAGCAAGAAGACAGAATATATGGAAGTGAGAGAAACAAAGTCCAGGTACCATGAGTATCGATGGTGAGGAGCTCAAAAAGAAACGTCATACTATACAACTACCTAGGCAGTCAAATCCAGCGGAAGGAGGCCTTCAAGAGGCGTCGCAGGCAGGATGAACACAACGTTTATCCATGAACATTATTGAAATGGAGAGCTTTGCCAGGAGTTCTGTGCGACAAAAGATTGCCAGTGCTTCTTGAGTCCAGTCTGTATACGTTATCCGTTATCGTCCGTCCAGCAGCAGTAACAAGTTTGGTGTTACGGGAACAAGGATGTTGCGGTGGACCTTAGGAGTCATGCTGAAGGACCACATCGGCAGTGACACAATAGGAGCCGAAATGAAGGTAACCAGAATTGCCCAGAAAATGCAGAAGAAGATATTACGGTGGTACAGACATGTGCGCAGAAGGGAAGAGAGCCATATCACGAGGTTAGCCTTAACGGTGGAGGCCCCAGGTGGAAGACCTAAGGGTAGACCGATGAGGCGGATGGAAAGAACCAAGGCCGACCTGAGAGAAAATGGAAAAGATGAAGACCTTGCCTCAGATTGAAGAAACATGGAGACAACTGACAAGAAAAGCAGACCTTGCATAAAGGGGACAAATGCGAGCATTAAAACATTAATATAATTTGATATAATTTCCTAGTAAGAGGGCTGCGACTTGGTTACAGTCTTCGAGCTAGGGTGTTGATCTGATCCGGGGTGATAAACTCGGATGTTCATTGCCAATGAGAAATGCTCCTATCAATCATCTTAATTTTCACTGTGAGGGGCCTAAAGTTGGTGTACCGATTATTGAACATGCTGCTTACGAAAACTGAAAGCTTAGGAACATCAATTTTTAATTTCGTTCGCAGGTTTTCACATCTCCGACATAGAGGAACTGCAATTTCGGTCCCAAATTTTCTTGAAATTGGGAGGGGAGAAGAATATTCTATTTTCCAAGTGAGGAGATCGACGTCTCGCCGTTTGTATGATTGCTTGAATGAAACACTTTCGATTGACAAAGAAAAACGATTAAAACAATTTGCTTATATATCTTGATCATTTCACAACGGTGAAGAGCGAATTCTTTATTGGCAGCAATCCAACAAACTTTCATACTCAATGTTTACAGTGATAATGACTCAGAGAGCTACAATAAAAATCAATACTAGATCAAATTTAAGGCTTTTGTACGAGTAATAGCATTTATGAGAAATCATTGACATTTTGGCAAGTATTGCAGAACTAATGATCGAACACACAATTTGGCAAAAGTTGAGAATTTAGATGAGCTTTTCAATAGTTGACTGATGTACGTCTGGCTCATACAGTAAGCCATTGTAGAGCCTGAATGATCAATCGATAATTGATTTTTTTCAATTTAAGTGCTCTTTAAACTACAGTAGCTTACCTGTAGAAACAGTCATGACAGTATGGTTTCCTATCATGTTCCCTAAACGTTCCGTGCATATTTAGTGCCTAAAATATCAGTATAATTTTGCGACAAAAAATCGATATATTGATTGAAAACTAGTGGCACTAACCTTTTGGCAATAACAGCACATAAAGTGATAAGTGTGAAACTTTTGCGCTCGTTCCGAATTTGGTGCCAATGCGGTCAAAATCGGCCCGTCAATTTCTTCGCTACAGTATGCGCAGACCACTGGCGCCATCGGTGGCGGCGAACCCTAAAAAATCGATAAATCAAAATTTATGGAAAAATCAATAATCGATCACCTCGATTTGTAAGGTTCTTCGAGGTGTTTCCGATCTTGCTCGAGTACGACGAAGACTGTTGGTTTGGCTTTCGCTCAAAGCCATGCCATAGTCACGAGAGACTTCGTCCACGGTGACCTTCTCCTCAGGGACTAAATGAAGCAGAGAGTGAGGAGAAATAAGGGTTCGGGAAGCTGACCACTTGGGAAGCCCTGATAAGGAAGCTTCTTGTAAACTACTTACTATTTTCTCGCTTCCGTGGAGCCGGGAAAGGTCGTTCCTCTTCTGGCGCTGGAGTAAGGCGCAAACGGTACTCGATTTCCTGAAAGACGCGAAGTTTTGGACATTTCAATAAGATTTTACTACTGCATAATCTGTTGTCATAAGTTTAACTCCAGTCCAGAATTTGGGAATATGAAGGAGGAAAGAGGAGGGGGAACGAGGTAGCCCCAAATCCGAGAATATATAAAAAGCTCCGCTCCCAAAATTATTTGGTGGTTTACCTCTTCAGTGCAAGTGCTCGAATAAGGACAGTTCTTAATTAAGAGGAGGTCTAACACCGAAAGGGTGAAGGAGAGAGGAAGTGGGAGAATCTGCATTGATGGTTACCATAATCTTGATCAAAATTTGGCACCATTGACGAAATTACAAGTTCCATAAAGGAAGGGCTATAAGCTTTTCCAGCTGATGTTGTTTGGGTAGCTTACCCAGAGGTACCAGTGGTCACCCTATGAGGTTTCAGATAGTTGTCCATGGTTACCAACAATTATCCTATGAGTTTCTGGATAGTTTACTTTACTTGTAGTTACACTATGAGGCCTTAGATAGTTCACTCAGAATCAACTGCTACCCTATGAGGCTTCAAGTAGTTTACCCAGAATTGCCCTAATTACCCTCTGAGATTCGACAGAATCTACCAAGAGCTACCCGTAACTACCTTACCTCCTTCTGCTGACTTTTTCGGCCGCCTCTATCCTTTCCTGGTCCACCTCGTCTGAGCACTTCAGCCGTAGCGTTCACGTCGTATACAAGTGCAGCCAAAGTGTCCGTAACAGCGTTTTGTCCTGAAGTTAGAGCATAAGTTGACAATGGGGCAGATTACGTACTAGAATAACTAACGCTGATCATCCTTAATTTTTCCCAGCTCTTTGTTCATGTCCTCGGTAGAGACAGCCTGAGATAATTACTAAATTTTTTTTTGGCTGAGTGCCAAGTATATTATGATGTTACCCGAAGTCTTGTACTGAGCCATTCATCTGTGGGTGAAATTGATACTCGGCCTGTCACTTCCATTTCTGTCTGGAACTGTCGACGTTCCATGCGCTAAAATAGTACATTCATCCACAAAAATACTCATTTAGGGCTGCGCCTAGAGTCAGCGAGCCGGAGCCGTGCCAGCGCCGTGCCAGCGTCTCTGTTGATTGAACGGCATTCCAGCACGACCCTGGCACGCGCACTGTGACGCATACCATACATAGCATGTTAGGTCTTACAATTTAGTTTTTGATGTGTCTCAAGGATTTTGGAATATTTTCCAGATCTTACCATTTGGTTGTGTTTCCGTCTGATGACTTCAGTAGTCTGTTCGACGTCATCTTTTAATGCCGTCAAAGTTCCGTTAACGATCTCGTCTTCTGCAAAATTCCATATGCGCATCGTAAAATTTCATATTTTACTAGCAAAAGCTGGAAACTCACGTTGGCTTGGCTCCTCATCGTTACGGAAAACTTTGTTGCTTGAACGACTCTCGCTACGCCACCGTTGCACATGTCGTTCCACCGGATCGGGAGGATTGGATGCACGCGAGTCCGTTCGCATTTCTGAAAGTTAATGAATGGGGATTTTTTAAATTGACACATCGATACTGACAGCCCATTGTTGAAATTGTTTACGAGAGTTGGACAATGATGGCATTTGTTGCAGATATATATAAGGTCGCTCAGAAGCTTTTCCTTTTTTGATTGGCTGGAAAAATAACTAGAAGAAAGATGGTATTAAGTCCTTTTACGCCTTTTTCTAAAATTAGATATCACAACTATAATTCTCTAGGCTTTCAGAAACCGTCGAAAGCATGCCAAATAACATAAGCTCGGAATCAAACCTTTTTATTTTTCAATTTGAACTATGTGGGAACGTTGGAGACGTAAATGAATATATAAAATAAACAAATACAAAAGTGTATATATAAATGAACAAACAGAGCTAAGCCTAGAAAAGTAAAAGTGTTTTTTCATTCTTCCCTTTGCTTTTTACGAGTTCATTTCGTGAAGTGATATTAGGCTTAAAAAAGGAAAAAAACTGATTGATAAGCATTGTTCATGCAGTAAAGTGAATATTGATAATTAGTGTAATTTATTGTAATGTAGTGTAATGGGATTTTACACTTGGTAAAGTATCTGAAAGCAGAGAATTCTTTGATATAAATAAAATTTGAAAAACTGGTTTATTTAGTTACAAAATGACTAGATGCAGCAAAAGGTTTACTCTGATTTCCTGCTTTTTACGCTGTTTCAGACACCTGGTAAACATTAAAATAGAAAATTCTAAACGCACTTGCAGGACTTCCCAAAAAGCTATGACGAGTCGCAAGATGCAAGGAGATGCAATCAAAAAGAGCAACGGATATCGGATAATAGCAAGTCGCTCGCTGTTTTATCAGATTTGTGATGATCAAAAATAGCGAGGATTTTGGGAACGAACAAATCGTCTAAAATCAGCTGTTCAGCTGATGGGGGGGGGGAGATTCGTTGCCAATATAAAACAGTGTTGAGAGAGACTAAAACGAAATGATACATACAATACTTTGAGTAGTTTGATAAGCCTAAATTTGAAATCGCCAGGAAAGTCTGGGTGTGGCTACTTCCTGTAAGGAAACATTGTGAAGGCCGAGGAAAACGAGTGTTCTGAACCGGATGGAGGGAAAAGCCGTATGGAGTGGTTTGCCGAGCTTGTTTTAGACCCGATCACTTTACTATGGCAAACGTACATAGCCATAAACCTTCTTCTTTCCCTCCGCACTGTCCAGCTCAGAGTATCCTCAGTTTTTGTATCATGGAGCTCAAGCAATAAAAAATCTTAACTTGTTCTTCTTGGTTACATCACCTTCATCTAGGAGAAGAGACTAGCCAAGTTGGTGGGTTCACACATAGCTGCGGATTTACAGCTACTATAATTTGCAAAATTTAAGCAGGAGACCAAGATAAAACTGGTTTCACTTTTTAAGGTAATTTTCTTGAGAATCATCATGCATTTTTGACCCCTACTAATTAGAAGTTATTGCCTTGCCTCCTAATCTGCGCTCATCTCAATTAATTGACAAATGGTTCGCGTCTTCGCGCAGGCGGATTACATGGGCGAGAAACAATTTTTTTCCGTCAAAAGTACACTTTTACTTTCGACGCTTTAATATTTTACAACGATGTGGCACAAGGTGGGTGGAGGAGAATTTGGTTCGCAGAGATAAAAATGGAAAAATTTGCGATTGGGAGCGTTGAGGCTGTTTTATGATATGTTAATAAGAATATCATTAGAACCATAAAATCGCACTGCCATTTAAGGATATTAAAGGGCTGGAAAATCAATGAAAATGGATGTTTTGAAATAAAAAGATAATTTGCTATCAAGGCTTTTCTTTCGTGAATCACCAGCTATGAATAACGGCGTAAAATACGGCAACGCGGTGCAATGTTCAGGCTAAAGGTCAGCCGTTGATTAGGAAAATTTTTATGGGATTTTTTCTGGAACAAAGGTCCAAAAAAGGTATAAAAACAATAAAATTGAAAAATGGTATGAAATCATATAAAACTGCAACTCACGCGGATCCGTCTGCTGTGTCTGACGAGACTCACTGCGCCAGTGATAACTGTGAGTGGAAACGGGTGAGACGGCCGTCATCCTACTAGAATTTATGAAATTATTTCTACATAATGGGAAGATTATTCAAGAAAAATAGATAATGAAGATAATACAAAAGCTAATGCAAGCAACGCAAAGTTAAATGAAATGAAAAAGGATTAGAAGATCCAAGTGTGGAAATGAAGAGCAAAAGATTTGATTTGAAAACTAAACGAAAGAGGGTTGATGAAAATCTATTTCAACTCTTTTATCTTTCTCTAGCCTTTTTTTCAGCTGGGAGATTTCCCATTTGATTCAGTGTGAATTTAGTTGGTCTAAAATCATGCAATACACATTAATACTATTGTACTGAAATGCAGAAAAAATCTAACAAGGGAAGTCACTTAACTTAGGTCGGGCTTTTGAAATGAAACACATATGTTTGGAATCAGCTAGAAATGCTGATTTCAAATCTGCTTTCCCTAGCTGCGAAGCTTTCCTCTGAAGCGAGTTATGAGCTTTTCCTGAGCAAATTTTGCTTGTTGACTGACTTAGGCATGCTACGGTATCATCATCTAGGTAGTGGTTCAAGTGCATATTATATCCTATCAAAGCCAAATGATTCAATTTGATGTTATTTTGATTTTCCACCACTTTTTGGGCAGATTTTCATCTAAAGACCTTCCTTCCATATTCAGTTGTCTGTCAATGACACATACTATTAGGTTGTGTAATAAGTTCTGTCCCATTTTTTCCTTCGATTTTCTCTTAATACTTTGCGCGATGTTCTGCAAATTGTTTATATGCATTTGAAAGCTCTAAGCCTTCTCTGCTGAAACTTCCATTTCGGTTTTTTACATCAGAAGACTTGAAAGAGTTTTACAGCGTCAAGTTTGGAAAATCAAACAGGGGAAAAATCCATTTTCGACAACTACATTACGTCGCCCTCCACTTAATCAGAATGCCTACAAATGAGCTCGAAAAATTTGCTACACGTAAGCAAAAAATGCTATAGCTTCTACTGTGCTTGAGGACTGCCAGAACTTTTCAAAAATCATTTCTGTAAACTTTAGAAAAGTCTTCTTTTTAACGCCTTTTCAACGTTGACGTTCGGCATCATCTGAAGGCATCCTGAGAGAGGACGGTAGGCGAATCGTTTAGAAAAGACAGAAGGGATGGTTTGTGGCTCCAAAATTAACGAATTCGCAGGCTAAATACTCAAAATTCGAATCTTGGGAGCCACGCAGCTTGGGCACGCGAGGCGGCGAACATCGGCGTGAACAAAGTCTTGCTTTGCCGTTTTTGAAAAGATGTCATTAAATACATGGTGGAAGAAAGGGAACAAGCGCAAACAGTGATAGAATGAAGCATAAGAGTCTAATAGATTGTTTTGCTTGTTGTCAAGCTTGTTCAATAAGTTTTACCAATGAAAATCGAGAAAAATTTGAAGGAAAAAAGATGTCGAAAACTGATTTTTCGGCTCTTTGGATTTTTTGTTTCAATGATAAAAATCTTTTTCGAGTTCTCGCTATGTTCGGGAATGATGCATATGAGCCTGCAGAGCAGACCTGGAGCTTTTAAAAGCATATACACTTTATCTCAAATTAAGTCAATGTTGTCGTGAAAAAACTAAAACAAAAAATAGGACAGAACTTATTACACGACCTAATAAAAAAGCTTATAACTCGCTTCAGAGAAACGCTTCGCAGCCAAGGATAGCATGTTTGGAATCAGCGTTCCGAGCTGATTCTAAATATGTGTGTCTCATTTCAAAGGCCCGACCTAAGTTAAGTGACTTCCCTTGTAAGAGCAAAGAATAAAACTGACAGGTTTTTATTGAAATATAAAAAAATTTGGAGTTGAAGTGCCGTCATATTGCGTTTATATTAATCGTAACCCTGCCTGAAAGGTGAAACTGATGCCAATTATGTACTAGGCTGTTGCATAAGTTCTGTCCGATTTTTTTGCCTCATGTTTGAAGCAGCTGTTCTAAGAGAATTTCATCTCTAATTCGATACGGTTGGTATCATTGAAAAGTGCTTTCCTTGCGCTTTCTAAAGCATACCAGAATTCAATAAAATTCTTAGTGTACGGAGATCACAGGCCTAAAATCTCTAAGTGGCCGAGGTACGTTCTATCCCTAGAAATATGTCCTTGCGAGGATATCTCCACAATGCGCCCTTCAAGTCAGGTTCTTTCATCGGCTTCGGAATAAGGGTATGGAATGCTAGTATATGCAGAAGTTCGGTCCCATGAAGAATACGTCTTGCTAGTGAAATTTATCCTCGAACATAAATCTTTGGTATAGATGTTTTACAAGCAATAACTTTCTGCGAATAGAAGTAATCGACAAGCTCAAAGTTGGAGGTGCTAGGGCAAAGCAAGAGCTAACAGGGCCCATCCACCAATTCCTTTTCGGCGCTCACGTCAGTTGTAAAACGTTCGTAGTTCATAAATAGGCATGCACACATGTGCTGAAGCGAGGTCAAAAAGTGGCTAATTTTTTGTTCGGTCAAGAAAATCTCTCGGCAGCGCAAACCCTATGGGCTCTTTTATGTTGCATAATAATCTACGAAAATTTCTCTATCCATCCATTATTAGAAAAGATGCCTATCAATTTTCATAAGGGAGCGTTACCATGTCAAAAAAGACAGATTCGAAGAAAAACGCTGCGAAGTTTTTGCATTCTTGGTTCTTCCTTAACAAAGATTTGCGCAGATCTCAATATGCATTTTTTAGCCAAGGGACTGCTCAACACATAGAAACTAAGACCTTGGAAAAAAGTTGACTCTGAAAGAAGTTATGACATTTTAAACTCAAAAATTCAAATCGGACAGAACTTATGCAACAGCCTAGTACTCCTTGGTCTATTCTCAAAATGTGCCAACTATTGAACTTTGTTAGAGTCTCTTCAGTTTTATAGCTGGAAATGAAAAAAAGTGTAATAGAACTTATGTTACGATTTAATATTTCGGATTTTCTCATATTTTAGTTCCACCAAAACAGGAAATATGGCAAATTTCTGATTTTCAAGCTTATCTGAAACTTTAGCAAAGATTGCAACGATGGCATATTGAATGAGAATGAAGAACTCCAAAGCTTGGAGAAACCGCAGGTAATTCGAATCAAAGTCTCTACTGACAATGAACACCCGCAGAGTTCCTTGAAATGAACGAACTCAATAGCTAAGACTGGTAAGGAAGGTCAAGTTGCTATTCAAAGCAAAACTCAAAGGTTTGAGTCATCTTCGAGCAGTAATTGAGAGAATTGGGCGCTCGCTTTCTAGTGAGTTTAGATTATGTTATTTTTACCAGACTGAACTCATGCGGCGCACCTTCAAAATTTTTCGGATGAGCAAAAAATTTGACTACTCTTCTAATTATAGAATGCTGTAGCTAATTAGCTGCCCATACTAAGCTTCGAGGTAAAAAAATGTTTTTGTCTCATAGTATCATTACGCTTTGGAGCTAGTACGGGATAACCTTGAAAAGATTTTGAGTATATTTGTCAAGAATGAGGACCTTTTTTTAGAGCAACCGGTCCGAAAGAATTTTGTTGCATCTACGGGTGAACCTTCGTTGATAACTGAACCTTATAAGAGTTTTTTTTCACATTTGACACTACTTTGATTTCAATTTTGAGTTTTATTTCAAATTTTAATTTTAATTTCAACTTCCATGGTTACGTAGAAAGTACAATGTCGGAAAAATTATGAACAAGACGGATTTTAGTACTGATACCTTTTCATTCACGGTTCAGACAAACAAAGTGAATTTCAACGTGGAGTACAAAGATGTGTTCAGTCGAGTAGTCAAAAATTATAATATTTTCACTAATAAAAATCGTTAACATACGATATGCTTACGGTAAGAGCTCAGATGGGTCTACTCGATGTGCTAAGGAGTCAATGACTGACAAACCTCCTGAGCTGCAGATTGACGTTCATAACTAATGTAGAGGGAATAAGCGTTTTTGTATGCATGAACCTCATATAGGTATAGGTCTATGTAGGAGTGGAAGTAAACAGGAAACTTTTGCAGGCTGACTCATTTGTTTGTCTATATTCACATCTTTTCAGGGTTCATATTGATTTGCTGATTAGAGTAATTGGAAAAAACTGCGGAGACGGCTGAAGGTGCTTCCTTAATCCATGTGGAAGAGGGAATGGACCCTTCCAAAATTTTTAAATTTTTCTAGATTTGAGAGCGCCTAACGGGATGATTGGGAAAAGTTATCATTGTCGCTAACTGGGTAAGGCAAATCCAAGGTAAGGTAACTAATACAAACTCAAATTAATGGGGAGAAAATCGCTTATCAACGCAGGAAAATTGCGAGATTTTCAGCATTTCTTTGATCCAAAAAGAGGGAAAAACTGTAGAAAAAGGGCTATAGTGGTCATATTGAGGGGATCATGCTGACATTTTGAACCGGATTTTTTATGGCGTTCTGAGAGAGCACATTCAACAAACGAAAAACCGGACACTGACATTGACGTAGTCATTGGGCAAATGCGCTCGAAATGTTAATCCGTGGAACACTTTCCATATGAATAACTTTTTATCCGACGTTCATACTAAATATTCTGTGACTGCATAAAAAGTTACTGGTCATAGAAACAGAAATAGTAAAAATCGCAGTTAATATTCGTTATGAATTTTCAAAGAAAAGGAAAGTGAATGCGACTTGAGGAAGGTAGCAAAGCAACGGTCATAAATTATAAAACTTTTGGGTAAAACCGGTTTTGTAAGCCACTTATGGAAACTGCTGCTCTTAAATAGGAAAGGAAAGGAAGGAAGGGCTGATAGAATATGGTCGATAGACTCATATAAGTAGAATAACTCCAAAGGGAAACAATCTTGGTAAAAACTTACCGAGAAACTCTGGTTGAACCAGTTCGGCGAGCTATTAATCATATGGCGTTGATCCAAAGCTGGTGCAAGCGCCTAACTATGAAAAGTTGGGCGAAAACGGGAGGGGGGGGGGGGCAAAATACTGCCGCTCACTAGAGGAAGCTCAAAATCTTGTAGAAAATTGTATGAATGTTTCTATTCGAGCGTTGGCGAA